CTGTAACTTTCAAACCTTCGTCGAAACTGGTCTTGGGTTCCCACCCCAACGCGGTGAGCTTTGATCCATCTGTTGCATAGCGCTGATCATTGAATGGTCGATCCTCTGTGTACTCTACCCATTTGGAAACCTCAGCAGAAGAGTCGTGGGGGATCCCGAGGACATTTAGCAGCCTGCTACAAATTTCCGAATTCGAAATCTCGTCCTTTGACGCGATATTGTAGATCTGACCAACCTGGCCCTTGTGCAATATAGTGTCTAGTGCATCCACTATGTCACCTGCGTAGAGGTAGCGTCGTGTGGGTGATCCATCACCGTGCAGAAGGAGCTTCTGTTTCCGTTGTAGTAGCATGATAAACTTTGGGATGATCTCTGTATCAGTCAGCTTCGTGGGGTTTCTCTAGCTTCACAGAAGTGCCTACTCTCAGGGAACTGATGCGGCCCATACACATTGTTCGCCCGGACAGTGATCAGTGGCAGCTTGAAGCTGCTCCTGTACGCGCTGACCATCATCTCCGCTGCAGCCTTGCTCGCCGAGTAAGGATTCGTGGGCGCCAGTATGCTCGTCTCGCCTAGATCTGCAGCCCCAATTGGAACGTCGCCATACACCTCGTCTGTGGAGATGTGTATAAACCTGGTGACACCATGTTCCCTCGCTCGCTCGAGCAAGACGTGTGTGCCGTAAACATTCGTGTTTGTGAACTCGTACGAATTGCCAAAGCTGAGGTCGACGTGCGATTGTGCTGCGAAGTGGAAGATGGTTTCGATCTTGTGTTTGCGCAGTACACGCTTGACATCTGCGGGCGATGTGATGTCACCTTGTTCGAATGCGAAATTTGGTCGGTCGTCGAGAATTCGCGTGTTGTTGAGCGTGGCGCAGTAGTCTAGCTTGTCAAAGGAGACGACATTGTAGTGTGGGTATGTAAGGACCACATGCCGCACGAACCAGCAAGCTCTGCTCCTTGGTCAGTCGTGGTCTAGTTCAAGCAAAAGTCAAGAGACGCACAGCTCACAACTTCCCGTGGTCTCGTCGCGACGTACATGAAGCCGGCTCCACCTGTAACCAAAATGTTCTTCGCGTCAGGGAGAGGTTCGAAGTTAGTACTACCGATGAGTATCGGCGCCTGCTTCCAAAGCTCCTGCTTGACATGCGATCTCGGATTAAGAACTGTCGACCCTCGTCGGCCTGGTATTGTTAGCGTCTGGGTTGGACTGTGCCTTGCATCGCATGCTGCAGGTGGGGACTCACGCTTTACGCCATTGGTGCCATTGACAACATAGTGGGCAGTGTCGGGATTTTGGACATAACTCATGGTCGTGATGACTTTTGCTCTTGTCAAACGAAAGCTGTCAAAGGCTTTCTTGACATGCTCATATAAGGTCCAAACGATGTATACCACCGTGTCACGTCTGGCGCGTCACTGGCCGCCCGTGTTTACGAAGCTGAATTAGTGCTAACTTGTAACGGAGATGTACCCGCTTGATTACCTTACGTCATCTCCGAAAGCATGAAACCTCACCATCATTGCACTACGACAAACCCCAACTAGATCTCGAACCTCTCAAGCTGACAAAGTGATGCTCTTATACCGTTTCTTAGCCTTTGGCAAACGACACTGTTCGGGCTCCAGACCACATCGTACTGAATGCCATACCTTAGGTCTGTCGAACGCACAGCCCAAGCCTAGACGCGTCATCGACAATATCCTTCTTCAGCACAATTGAGGACCGAATGTTACTACAGCGGCGGTATTACACGTATCCACTATTTCACTTCCAAATTTCAATAATTTTTCGTTCGTTGTCGTCTCTTTCCGTACAAATACCGGATTGATCATTTTCCCAGGATCGCACTCTGCATGCCGCCTCTTTCGCGTATCCATGACCTTTTTCCTCTTGGTAAAATTCAAGGTTTTTGAGTTTCAAGTACAAAGCGACATGGTTCACAGCGTATCACACATGTACAAGACCTAGGTATGCACCTCGAGGATCCGATCTGCGGTCAGATGGCCAGATTGGGTTGCCCCACCATAGTGTAATGTGGGGATGACAATATACTGCTCTTCGAGGACGATTCCAGCATTCTGAATAGAACAAAAAGCCAAGCATGGACCTGTGACCTTGTATTCCATGACTATCACTGGAAGAAATCAACACTAAGCACATCACCTTGTACTACGACGATGGGGTTCAGTAGAGCAGCAGAGTGGTCATATTTAGGGACTATGGGCTTATGGGCTGTTAGTCTGTTCACCCTTGGGTGGATTGCTCTCATATTGGACTACAGTCGCATGCTGTGTTTGAGATGGCGAATGGTAACCGCCCGCTTCTGCCTATCCTTATGTCTCTAGAGAATTCAACTCATACACTGGCAGCCGCCTGGACCACTACCATGGCCAATCATTGGCAATACATTCAGCTTACCGGAGGAAAAGCCTTGGTTTCTTATCGAGCAGCTATCCAAGGACTACAACTCTCCGCTTATCACGTTCTGGATTGGGCGGTCAGTCTGCACGGAAAGGTTTTGTTGTGGAGAGTGAGTAACACATTGCAGGAGGCCCACGATTTGGATCAACGACGCGTGGGCTGCCGACGAAGTCCTCGTAAAGCGAGCCAATATCTACAACTCTCGGCCGCGAATGCTGATGTTCGCCGAGTTGATGGGTGGTCAAAACAATCTACTGCATAAATACACATACACGAGAGAGCAGCGCGAGCGGTTCCGTGACCTCCGGAAGCTTACACACCAGGGCGTTGGGATTCAGCGGGTGAGTTGAAGTTGCGGTATGGCACGCTTCCCACTGACATAATACTTAGGTACAAAATTATCGCAGCCTCCAAGATGATGAGAACAAGGTAGTGGTGAAGGATTTGCTCACCACACCGGACAAATTCGTGTCACACTTCGAGAGATACGCTACAAGCGTTGTGTCAATTATCGGCTTCGGACGTCGGATCGCGGACTGCAAAGATCCGTTAATTACTGAAGTGATTGCTCAGATGCAAAACTCTGCTCAGATGGCAGTCGTCGCCAAAGACTTCCCACGCTTGATGGAGACTTTCCCATGTAAGTATCGGAGGCTCGAATGAAATCCAGCGTTAACAGCAAAAGGGCTTGCAAAATTCCCCGACTGTATTGCTCCTTGGAAGCGTGGTACACGGCGTTTCGCCAAACCCAAGTTCGGCCGCCATGACTTCTTCTTTGCTTTAGCAGAAGAGGCAAACCAGAGTTCAGGCGAGAACTACGCGAAGTATTTGTTTCGTGAAGCACCTCAGTACAATCTTCATCCACTCGAAATCTCCAGTCTCGCCGCCAACCTGCTCGGTGCCGGAGCAGACACATCGAGTAGCACACTTGTTACGGCTGTACTAGCTATGCGCGCATTTCCTGAGACCCTCGATCATGCGTGGGATGAACTCGATCGTGTCGTGGGTCGAGCACGAAGTCCAACCTTAGATGACGACCTCCCATACCTCCGCGCTTTCACCAAGGAAGTCTTCCGCTGGCGGTCTGTTGCAATCATCGGAGGTACTGCCCACGCCCCTGTCCAAGATGACTATTGGAACGGCTATTTTATTCCGAAGGGAACCTGGATGCAAGGTAATGTCTGGGCGATACATCACAATGAGCGCGATTTCCCAGATCCTGACCGCTTCAATCCACGAAGATTCTTGGACACGGACGATAAGAGACCATTCCCTGGGGAGAAAGGATATATGACTTTTGGATGGGGAAGAAGAAGTTGTGCAGGCCAAGCATTAGCGGAGCAGGGAACAAATCTTAGTGTCGCACGATTGGTGTGGGCATACAAGGTGGAACCAGAAGTGGACGAGCATACGGGGGAAGAAGTGCCTGTTGACATCTTCAACTACTCGTAAGTTATGCGTATAGATGGACCAATCGAAGGTTGCTGATCGTTGATAGGAGTGGGTCCAACTGGAAACCCCAGCCATTCCGAGTCAAGTTTACATCGAGACACGAAGAGATCAAGCAAACCATTCTTCGGGAGGGCAAGCAAGCACTGAACGACTTGGCCAAGTATGAACGCGAGACTAAGTACACCTTCAGCACCTTTTATCAGTAGTGTTGAGCTGGGTTGCAATGATTTGATTATACTACAAGCAGTACCTATATACTAAAATGGCGACATGCGATGCGCAAGGGTCACAGCCAAATCATGCGGGATCCCCCTCAAGATCCCTAATCCGCTAGGTTGATCACTGCTTGATACGGTAAGGCGCCGAGCATCTCCATACATCTCCGCATAACACCCCTGCCAGTGCGGAGTAGACATGGACTTCTCCTCATTGCCCCACGACGCCAGCTCATATAGCTTGCAGAACCTACTAGGACGGCCTGGCCTGGTCATATCCTGCCGCCTAAGGCTACAGATATTTCTTCTTATCAATAGGTAGCTATCACTTACTGTATGAACTACAATGGCAAAACTCCAGGAGACAACCTTGTGGGCTAATCGAAAATGCTTGATCATATGCTCGGCTGTCGCGATAGCCAGTATGCAGTATGGAATCGATACTGCTGCAGTCGGTGGCCTTCAAGCTATGCCTGGATTCTTGATGGTGTTTGGATACGAGGAACCGGCGAGCCCACTGGGCTATGGCATCGACGCAGGTATAATCAATCTGCTACATGGACCTGACTGACGCGCTGAGCAGTCGACGGTACAGCAACTCATGACCTCTTTGTTAAACCTCGGGTCGTGCTTATCTGCCATCGCCGCCGGTGTCTTTGGTACATACTTCGGTCGGAAGAAAGCACTATGGCTTGCATGTATAATATGTTTAGGAGCTGTATCGCTACAAATTGGGTCGACGTCTAAGACAGGCCTTTACGTCGGTCGTCTGTTTTTAGGCTTTTCCAATGGCTTCTTCGTCGTATTTTCGACAGTTTATTGTAGCGAAGCGGCGCCTGCGCATCTGAGGGAGCATGTCTCTTGTATTCACCGTCTTGCGCTGAATCACTGACAATAAGCAGAATCATGGTCGGTCTATTCTCGTTCTACGTGAACCTCGGAAGCATTATCGGCTCGGTGATCGACAACTACACTTCACGCTATCTTTCCAAACTCTCGTATCAGATCCCTCTCGCCTGCATGTTCATTGTTCCAGTCCTGCTCGGCACAGCACTTTTCTTCGTCCCCGAGAGCCCTCGATGGCTTTTGCACCACGACCAGCACGACGCAGCGCGCAAATCCTTGGAGCGCCTTCGTTTCGACCATGGGGACGAGTTAGAACTAGAATGGGCCGAGATGATCCGTGGCGTAGCTGAAGAGCGTAGACTGAGCCAGAGTTCGGGATTCCTGGATCTCTTCCGTGGAAATGATTTAAGACGTACATTGCTTTGTTGGGGTACGATCGCAAGCCAGTCAGCCAGTGGGGTTTGGTTCTTCATTGGGTACCAAACGTACTTCTTTACCATCGCTGGTATCACAAAAGCGTTCGAATACAGCATCATGAACTCTTGTATTGGGTTTATTGGTGTACATCTAGGTCTCTTCTCCATGAACAAACTGTTCGGCAGGAGAACAATCATGATCACCGGAGCCATAATGTGCGGTTTATGTGAGCTCGCTTGTGGGATTGCGAGTAGTGCGAAGCCAAATTCAAAGGAAACCGGGAATGTGTTGGTAGCTTTTACGGCGCTGTTCATGTTTTGTTATAATGCTGGAGTGGGTGTTGCCACAAGTCCTCTAGCAACCGAGCTTGTTAGTTCGCGACTGCGCGCTTGGACTGTCGGAAGTGCGAACGCATTGGGGTACTTTCTTGCTTGGCTGGTTGGCTTCTGCTCACCCTACTTCATCAACCCCCAAGATCTTGACTGGGTCAGTACAACCACTCCTTATGAAATATAGTGTCAGTGTTAACGTGTTTGCAGGGCCCGCAGTATACCTATATCTGGGCAGCTTCGAACTTTCTATGCGTGATATGGTTCTACTTCTTTCTCCCTGAGACGAAAACGCGATCGTTGGAAGAGCTCGATGAGATCTTTGAAGCGGGCGTCACAGCACGGAAATTCAAACAATATGAGTGCAGGATTAAACAGGATGCTAAGCAAGATGTTTATGGACAAGAAAAGTCTGAGGTGGTAAATCAAGCGGTATGAAGCACCGCCTCAGTAGCCCGAACGAAGGTGACTGTTACGTTGTGCGCATCACATAGGGGGACCTCACTTCGAGATGATGTGGTGGTAGACACATGGATCTAATATGGCTTGCCAGTATCCTCCATATAGAATATTGATTACAGGACAGCAAGAATGCTTAGTGTTGCAGCTAGAGCTAAGACCACTATACGAAGCTGATACTCTCCCAAGTTGCCTGCGGCCGTGCCTTGTTCGGTTAGCGCCTTGATGGAGTATTTCAGGGAGCAGAGTGAACAGGCACACACCTTCTTCAGGAGTTTCGGTCGTTTCAGCTCCACCTCCTGACCCAGTTGTGGAAGCCGACACTTCTTCGGTGGACTGGGACATTCCCTCGGAAGTAGATGTTGTCGACGTTACCCCAGTACCCGTTGAGGATATAGTTACTGTCGCGTCTTCCCCTACGATTTGACAAGGTCCACTAAGAAAAGGGTATGATGGATCGGTCATGTCGTTGATACAGTCGAAGAAGTCTCCCCCGTCATTAACCTCGCACCATTGAGTGCAATTGTCTTGGAGGCGCACCTCGGCGCCGCTGTCACAGCAGGATGTGATGTTGACCTCGCTGGGAGGGACGTTGACTTGGCAAATTTGACCTACAAGTCCCGTCACATTGATCCCGTTAGGCGCAATGTTTGGTGAGCAAGCAGTAGGAGTGGGCTGAGTTCCGCCAGATGTGATAGAACTGAGAGAAGCAGACATGATTGTGGCGGCCTTCTTGAGAGTAAGAGCTTAGAATGAGAGAATAGGTTTTGATGAAGGGAGCATATACTCACGTTCCGCCCAATTCATGCTACTGCCTAAGTATAGCAGCGCTGCGGCATTGCGACGTCATTCTGCTGACTGTGAGCCGTCGGACCCGGATGTTATGAAACCGAAGTCATAAGAGGATTTAGTGAATGTAACATTCGCCTTTGTTGTCTCAGTACATCGCAATGCTTTTAGGTTGCCCAGACGCATGCCAAGGGCGGGGACGGCACGCGCGGCACTTCAGTCCCGCCTCCAGGTGAACATCTTCGCTTCCAATTATCCAGCATCCTTGACATCACGTTACGCCCCGTGGTAGGAACCTATGAACGATATTGACACTTCGAAATCAATTGAATGCAAACCCGTCAGGGCTCCACGTATTGAACGGACAGTTACAGCCGGAGTGTTGTGGAAAAGTGCGTGACCACTATAATACTCAGCACTGGGCTAACTAGACGCGTCGTCCGCATTCGACCTCCATGGTGAGTTGCTCTTATTTGAGTTCTTCGTGTGGAGGTTTCAATCAAGGGGAAGCTTATTGATGCTCTCCGCAAAACATCTACAAGATGTTGCCATTAGAAGTTAGCGGGACCTAAGATGCGCGGTCGAGGTTTGCCTTGAGAGCCCCATCGGCGTGTACAATTGGCAAGTGCTTACAATGCCTGAAAGACTCTTTCGTTCATGGATGAGGAGTATACCACCCAGCATAGCCTCCTTCACGGGTAACGGATGTTCTAACATTTCCCCAAGGAAGTATATTCTCGATCGTGCTGCCAAAAACAGAAGGAGATGTAGAATATCTATGTCATCGCGCGTGAGAGCGGCAAACAACCAACACCATCTGCCTCTTGGTACCAGTAGATGAGTACAAATCTGCGCCGAGGAACGGCTCAATGTAACGCTCAGCGCTCCCTCGAAGACCGTCAGCATAAACGCCCTCTTGATGCAAGCTGAATACGAATATCACCAAACGAGAGAGAACCAGAGGGTCCCAAACGCCTATAAGAACAGTTATCATTCGGTAGGAAAGGTATTCTCGACACCCATTGTCTTCTCAATATCATCTCGAGAGCAGTCAGTTTCCGAGTTTCTTGTTTAAAACATCTTCTTCTATCACCATCAACATGTTTCGGCCTCTTAGAGCCATGCTTTGGATCGGCGCTGTCTCCGGTATGCCCACCAGTCCGAATCTACTCTCAGCACGTCGGGACGAGACAGCCTTGTGGACATGCAGGGAAAATACCTGCACTGACTGTCCTTTTTACTTCAGCGCTGGAACTGTGAGCGACCTCAGGCCCTCGTTGGCACGAAGCGACTGACCGAGCACTAGGGATGGCCAGATTGTCCATACTACACTGGTGACCAACTCACGGAGAGCGGCTTCCCACCCCAAGAGAATGGTCAAATCCGAATCTATATCGATGTCCCTCCGCAGGAGGACGATTGTAGAACTCTTATTCGCACGCCCGTCAGACCAAACGACGTCAATTGTGGCGGCAACATCATCATCGCTGAGGGGGCAACATGTGCTGTGATCACCATCGATAATACCTTCATTGCATCTCGGTGCTGTGGCCTTGAAGAATGCACAGACGCTGGCGCACCAGGCAAGCGTGATACGAGCAGAGTCAGCGCCAGTTCCTCTGGCATCCTTATGCTTCATGATCTCGGTGGTAATGTTATTGAGCCGAAGACGGCTGCACTCTTGCAGCATGCAGATGATGAGCCGTCTCTTCCCGTCCAGGTCCGCAGCGCCGAAACACAACCTACTAAGTTTCTTACGAAACGGGACTGCGACGGCTTTCAAGCCACCAGAGGGCCGTTTCAGAGCGGTGGAACAAACTACGTCATCTCTGATGTAGTCACTTGTACGCCGACGGAATCATGCCAGGCAACTCTAGGCGAGGAAGTGACTGAAGAGACGACCTTTAGCACTGAAGTCTCTGTCAGCGATCCTTTGGGTATCGTTTCCGCTAGTGTTGGTTTTGAGTTCTCAGAATCTGTGACTCAGAGCTTTGAGGGTTCGTATACGTTTGGACCAGGCGAGAGAGGCTATGTTGTCTTCATTCCATGGATCACGTAAGTTTCTCTACCGCATAGAATGCTGTACGCACGTCGCTAATATGATCACGAAGGTGTGTCGAGGGGTATTTCACAGGCGACTGTAGCGATGAGAGTGTTCAGACAACCATTTGTGGCGGTGAGAGTTCTGGCGGTGCTATCAAAGGTGAACAGCGTCCTGTCATCATCCGCGGCTGAGTGTTTCGGAACGTTAGGTAGATAGAGATGGAAAGGATATAAGGACACTCTTTTGAACGTCTTGTAGTTACCAAAACATGTCAATCAAACGACGTGACCACACTTTCTCCCTTTCCGTACTAATACCGCATACTTGCAATTGAGTCTGGATGGTGTGTTGAAGGGAGGATGAGAGAGCACCGCTGTGCTGGCCGGTGCGTAAATGCGGTGGTAATGTGGGTCTACTTCTGCAGTTAACAAGATCTATATCGATTCCAATGTTTAGCACTGGGTTGTTACCTATGACATGGAACAATCTATCTTGTGTCGCTCGGATGATATCCACGGCTTCTTGACAAGTGGTCGAATCACCAACTTTATAGATGTTGTTTGTCCTTCTTCTTCCACATACGACCATAGGACACTGAAAATTAGTTTACCCTCGCGATCTGTCAAAACTCGTGGTGCCGTGTTGAGGTCGATTAACTGAGTTTCGTCCTCGGTTACCCGTTTCAGGAATCGCGTACCCTAACACCGCCACACCAAAATAACACTCGCGTCCGCAAAATCCTTCGGCCAAGAAAGTATTCGTGAAAAAGCTTAACGCATAGGCCTATAGAGTAATCTGGTAAGTTTCCTTGTAATAAGTGCTTATATATAACTCTACAGCCTCCATCTTGTGTAGCCTGTTTTGGTGATGCGCGTGCCTTGACTGACGGCGTGCATGGTGTGCGCGCATACGGTAACCGTACGACAGCTTACGCTGTCTACACTAAACGTAATTTAGGTAACTACACTATAAAACAGGAGGGACGGATAGGAGCTTATCCGTGCCATTCTGATTATAGTTAACACTCCCGGTTACTTAAGTAGAGTACGCACTGCAGATAGGCGCATGAATCCCGACGGAGGCGGGATGTGCTGGTTCGATGACCGCGACATTTGCATCATAGGTGTAAACCGTAAGGTTTGTCATGGGCACAAGAAATTTGGGGAGAAGGAAGACAGTGTTGCATGGTACGAGCCGTAGCATCAGCGACGGCTCGCTATCGCCGGCGTGGACAACCCGAGAATGCTGCTGATGAGCGACGCTCAGGAAGCCACGGGACCATGGAACGGCTCGAAAGTTACATGGATGTTTGCTAGTCCAAGTCAGGAAATGCTTCCAAGACTAGATAAAACCCGATTGTTTTGGTCTTTTCCCATCAGCATCAGTACTTGTTCAAAATTCCAAGCATGCACCTACGCTATGCAAAGCCCTCAGATGAACCGGTCATCGTCGACATCTGCGCTCGTGCGTTCCTGGAAGAAGACCTCTTTGGTCGAGTAATTCACCCCTACCGAGCACAGTATCCTAATGACGTACAAATCTTTTGGCACGATTGGGTGCGCAATGATAGGGCCAATCCACGAAACAAGATCATCGTTGCCGTCACGACCGCCGAGGGTAGTGAGCATGAGAAGATTATCGGCGCAGCAATCTGGCAACGCCAAGGCGACGACCCAGGCGCGCAAAAGATTATCACAGAATGGACTGATCCCGGTACCTTTCCCGCCTTGCTTTCAACCCAGAGGATGTGAAAGATCCAACTTGCATCGGCTCGAATGCCGCTTACCCTGCCGGGCGGCGTGCTAGCCTCCCCGAGGGCTTTGGCCGGCCCGTCCCCTGTACCACCAATTTGTATCCACCCATCACGTCCTCTGAGTGGTTTCGTCTTGCAGCTGGCTTCTCAAATCTTTCCCGTGCTATTGAGCCAGGTGCATTTGCGCCATCTTTCCCATCCTTCTTAGTGTCATGGAAGCAATTTCCGGACTTCTCAGTTGTCATATCGCTTGGTCGAAGCTCAACATTCGCAATCATTCCTTTCAACTCGCACACTCATTCCTGTCAACTTACAGTCTTCATATTCGTTTTTCTATTATGTCAGACCTAAAGAATGAAGCTGCTGCCGTAACCCAGCCTCTTGACAGCGAGTTACAACAGGATGGTATAGTTTCAGAAAAGAAAGGGACCGCTGGCGACCAAAAGGACATGTATCGTATGGGAAAGCAGCAGGAGCTGCGACGAAACTTTCGTTTTGTGTCGATCTTTGGATACAGCATGGTTTTAATGGCGACGTGGGAAACCATACTGACGTGAGTACGTATGAGCATTTGATCTGCGCTGTCTGACATCCAGCAGAACTCTGATCATCCCATTAACGAATGGTGGCACCGGTGGCGCTATCGTCATGTTCCTCGTCACAGCGGTGGGCATGGGCTTTGTCATCGTCTCGATGGCTGAGATGGCTTCAATGTGCGTGGCGGCCCGTTGCTGGGGTTCCTTCGAGACGAGACAATTGCTAAATAGAACGAAGGGCTCCTACTTCCGGAGGACAGTATCATTGGGTGTCTGAGTTTGCGCCGAAGAAACACCAGAAGTTCTTAAGTTATCTTGTGTTCGTTGCCCTGAGCACATCCACGAGCCTTATTGCTGATCACATAGTAGCGGCTGGTTGTGCGTGCTAGGTTGGCAGACCGGAATTGCATCTATCGCCTTCCTTGCTGGCGGTCAGGTCCAAGGACTTGTCATCCTCAACAACCCAAACTACGTCCCCGAACGATGGCACGGTACCCTCCTGGTTATTGCCGTAGCAACGTTCTCGATCCTGTTCAACACGCTGTTAGCTCGTAAGCTACCACTAGTCGAAGGCATTGTCCTAGTCCTGCACATCTTTGGATTTTTTGCCATCTTCATCACAATGTGGGTTCTGGGGCCGCGTAGTCCATCCAAACAGGTTTTCGGTGGATTTCAAGATAACGCGGGATGGGGCAGCATAGGTCTGTCTGTGCTGGTGGGACAGTTCTCGCCTATCTTCTCTCTCTTAGGTGCGGATGCTGCGACCCATATGTCTGAAGAACTAAAGGACGCCTCACACACACTTCCCCGCGCCATGATCTGGACAGCGGTAGTTAACAGCAGCTTGGGTTTCCTCATGCTGGTAACCTTCTGTTTCTGCCTCGGCGACGTGGAAAGCGCCATCCTATCGCCGACAGGGCAGCCCCACATTCAGATCATGTACAACGCTACGCAGTCCATCCCAGGGGCTACAGCTCTAGCATCAATTACGACTATCATGGCAGTGTTTGGATGTGTCAACAATGTGGCAACATGCTCGCGCCAGCTCTTCGCCTTTGCTCGCGACCACGGCGTCCCTTTTAGTGCCTTTCTGTCCCGAGTTCGACCAGGCTGGGACATCCCTCTCAACAGCGTTCTTGTGTCTTTTAGTATTGCCGTTGGACTCTCTCTTATCAATATTGGCAGCACTGTAGCGTTCAACTCCGTTGCGTCGCTAGGCACATGTGCTCTCCTCTCGTCCTACATCGTCAGCATCTCATGCATGTTTATCAAGAGGTGGAACAAAGAACCTCTCCTTCCCTGCAAGTTCTCGCTCGGTCGCGCTGGTATCTGGGTCAATGGTGTGTCCGTCATCTACTTATGTGTAGCGTTGGTATTCGCCTTCTTCCCTACATTTCCGCACCCAACACCTGACCTAATGAACTGGAATATTCTGATATACGGCGTTGTTGTGGTTTTTTCGCTGGTCTACTTCTTTCTCAAGGGGCGCAAGGTGTATGTTGGGCCTGTAGAGTATCTTAACAAAGATCTTTGAGCGGGAGTTGAGATTACAGGACTAAAGAGCAACAACAGAGCTTAACAGAAATGTACTAGTATTGTTTCAGGTAACATTTCTTCCATGTGCGGCGTATCTATCAAGTCGCGATTGATGTCTCAATACTCTCTAGTTGACTGACCAAAACTGTGGTAGTCAAAAACCAGGCAACAGATATTCCGCTCTTGCACAATACAGTAACCGTGCGTTCGATGATCATGGTCGCTCGTTGAGCACCCCAACAACAACAATATACTCAAAAAGATGAGGTTCTAGAGCCACCACAAATCGTAATAAGATTGCGCAAAGCTAGGATTATACTATATACAGGCCTACGAAAGTTTTGGCTTATTCAGATAATCTTTTAGAGGGCGTTATCGGTCGTTGTCGTCGACTACGCGGTAGAGCAGCTGGTGCACGCCTTGCGGCTCCCACCACAGCTGGAGCAACACCACCACGCTTTTGACGCTTTGTAGCTGGCTTATGAGGTTTTGAAGCTTTGCGCTTACCCGATTGGGGCAATTTTATAGCTTTGGCAGCGTCGCGGAGGCTTCTACGATAGTCTCTTTCGGCTTTCTCTGCAGCCTTCCGCTTTCTGGTCTCCTCCCAACCCTTCTCCCGCTCAACACGGGCTGCTTCTTTGAGTTGAAGCTCACAATCGCGTGCTGCCTTCTTGATCTCGGCTTGCTCGGCTTTTTGAAGCTTTTCAAGCTCGGCTTGTTGTTGTTGTGATGCCCGACGATCGCGAGCTCGTTGTACACTCCTGGGCGACCACAGTTTGGCTCCCCCATGGTAAACCTCGTCCTCATCAAGCTGGAGGGTGAAGGACTGCTTTGGTCGCCTCTCCTTGATGGCTAGGGACTGCCTGAGGCCCCTGACCTCTTCACGGAGGATACTGTTTTGAGCTGAGATGTGGCACAAGCTTCGTTGAAGCTTCTTGACGTCCTTACTGCTCTGATCCTTCACCTCACGGCGTACAATTGACTTGAGCTTGAGCCAATCCTCTCCGGAGAGGACTGACTGGCTGCTGTCAGAATCTGAAGCCTCCTTGGCAAACTTCTTGAGTATAACGTCTGGGTTGGCTGGCTGTATACCGGTGGCTTCAAAAGACCTCTTGATGAGTGGAGGCTTGAATACAGAGCTCCAGGACCTCCAGAAGAGCGGGAAGAAGTCTCCTTTGGTCAAATTGAGTAACCCCTGGCTGTCCTGGAGGTATCCCATCAACTGAGTTGAGTAAGCTGTTGCCAGGGGTTTGAACATCACAACATCAAGTGGTTGAAGCGTATGGGTAGCGTGAGGAGGCAGTACAAACAAGAGAATCTTGTTGTCGTTACAATACTCAATAAAATCCATGGTTACATAGGATCCGTGGCCGTCAAGGAGTAGTAATCGATACCCAGTTGAAGCATGCCGTCTAGTTTCTCGGTCAAACACCTGTTTGGGCCAAGCTAACCCAATATCGTTGTTGCTCCAGCCAGAGGGTGATGACGTAGTAAATACTGAGTGTTCTCCTGCTTGTATAGCTTCAACCCAGCTCGATTGAACAGCTCCGTTGGCTCCCTGGAAGATGAGAGTTGGACTCAAAGCTTTGCCATCCGAACAAATACAAGCTATCACCGTTATCCACTCGCTTGAGCCATCTTCAAGTGCTTGCCTTGCCCCTTTTTGCTCGTAGAGTCTTCTGCTGAATATACGTTTTGTATTGCCAACCCGGCCAAGTTGAAATCCCTTTTCGTCCATATTGAATATATGGGTGGGTTGTATATTGTACTCCTCTATCTTTTCATGTAGAAGCTTGAAATACAAGTTGTACTTGGCCCCTGAATCAGCTTTGGTACGCTCCTTGGCCATGGCTTTGCCCGAGCGAGAGATGAGATGGTTGGGATGCCGGCGGAGGAACCGGGAAACCCAGCTTTCGGAGACCGGCTTGCCAGCCAACTGACTGGCAAACTGTTGTATCATTGTTCTTGTAGGTGGCAAACGTCGTTCGGTAAGCGTTTCGATATATCGTACGAGCTCGGCTTCGTGTTGTGGGTGGAGGGAGGACTTGCGCAAGCCATAGGTCTCGGTTTCGCCCTTGTGTCGTCTCATCAGCGTCATTCGTCCTACACCATACTTCTTCGCAATTGCTTGGTACGAAAATTCATCTCCTGGTTCACGCGATTCGATTTCTTCAATCGCTTCTTGAATCGGGTCCATATTGGTTGAGTTATGACGCGTTGAAGTTTTGTTGTTGTGGTGGTAGGGGTGCTCAACCAGTGACCATGATCATCGAACGCACGGTTACTGTAACATCACCTCAGTGACGATGCAAGGGGTCTGCATGATTATGATTTGCCTAATCCCTCCCAGAATTCAACAATCCTTCGCGCGTAACACGTTAGTTCTTTGTGATCATCAACGCCCCCTGCCCGTAAGCGAGAAATGCCCCTCAGCGAGGTGAATCTAATCTCGACCTAAACCAGTCTCCACCACATTCACTTATGAACTAGCAGCGTATGCACTCTTGTTCTTTAGATCTTTCTCTATCGCCCTGCATCTTGTAATAATTAAAGTAGGGTAGTTGTGGTCGCAACAATAGCTATGTTGCGTGCTGCGCTGTGAAGATCGTCCGAAGATGATCTAGGGTTGGTTCTCGGGGAATGAGTGGGCGACGATGGACGAGAGGGTTGTACTAGCACGATTGGTAGATCAATGTAATAACATGAGGGCTTGGGAATCAAGTAGTAATCCTTAGCTTGACGTAAGATCGAAGTTGAACACAACGAGCTGTAAGAGCTCATTGCCTAATCCTATATATTGAGGGTGATAGTTGCGAAAGTCGCGCGCAGAACTATCGCTAATTCTTGGCGTAACTACCAGTCACGTGACCTACCATACAGTCTAGGGAGAACCATCTGTGGATGGCAACACCAGCCACGTGAAGAGAGGGATGGCAGAGACAGAAATAGACGGTACTCTTGTATATAGACCTTACGATGCACTCTCATAGTTCATCGTGTTCAACTTTGCAAACATCCTTGTGTAGCAATCTAATGATTACTACTTGTTTCTCAACCACCGTGTTGTTACATCGATCTACCAATCGTGCTAACACACCAACCAATCCGTTCACTCGAACTCACTCATACCCTGAGAACCAACCCTAAACCATCTAAGGACGATCTTCACATCTCGTTGCTGTGTCTGCTGCTATTACTGCTATCGTATCTATCCTAGATGTTGGGGATGTTTGCGATGGTTTGCTATCCCTTCATGCACAACTATTCTGGACAGCTAGCCTTAGCGGGATATCAATCACGTGATTGGAGCACCCTGCGCTGATCATTATCCTTTGCTTCGTGCGACGGTTGGCCTTTAACCTCGCATCCTTTGCTGAAGGGATTCATCCTGTGTGTGTTCGTAACAGAGTGATACACATTGTATTAGGTTGATGTATGTCACCTCTCCTATTTCCCCGCCTTCTTAACGCGTCCTTTCTCTCGCAGATTGTAGTTACAGGGGCTAGGTCTTGTTCAAAAGCCTCTGTAGCGCTTACGCGCCAGTGTATGGCACCTAGGCGGAGCAAACCACTAACACCAGATTGTGTGCTAATAGCCTGTATACAGAAAAGACGGTTACTGAATACAGTAAAAGTAAGGGACTTTGTGACAGTAGCATGAGTGAAAGCTAGGATTCCCGTCCGCTCAGCCATATACAGGCAGTGTACCGGCGGATTAATAGTTGGGTGGGTGACCACTAGCAAATCCCCGCTGTTGTATGTTTTTGTCTTTTTTGTGCAGCCTATCAACGGGGATCTTTTTGCCCATGTCCAACATGTCCAAGTCGTAGTAGGAGGGAGGTCACCCGCAGATGATCAGCAATGAGTTTTTGTTTGTGGTGGTATCTAGCTTCAGGAACCGAACTAAGCTCGTTGCCGCTTGCTCCTACGTGTCATCGTCTCTTGCTTTACTTCGACAACAGAGGGCGCTTCCTCAGGCTCCTGCTTTATGCGCTTTCGCTTCGTGGTCTCCTTTTTGACCGTTTGTTGTATGGTGGTATCCTCTTCCTCCTTCTTTATTGTTACTTCCTCTTCCTTGACCTCAACTTTTGCAACAACCCTGTCAGAGAATGCCTTTAGGTCCGCCGTGAACAAGACAGAATGCGCCCATCCCGCTTCCTTTCCCCACAGCTTTCGGAACAGGTTCCCAATCGCAGCGTATGTAGCAGCAGTTAGGCTACTGTGCTTGCCCTTGCCGAACCTGTAGTCGCGTTGGGCAATCTGCCAGACATGTGTGTCGACAGGTACAGACTCGGACCAGCCGAGCCCAAAGAGACACACACAGTCTGCAACCTTTGGGCCCACACCGTGCAGGGCAAGAAGCTCTTCATGTGCTTGTCGATATCCCTCACGACCACCCTCAAGCATGTCTCCAGCCGGCTTCTCTTCTACTCCAAATTGTGGACACTCAGGGTTACTCAGATTGTCCAACCATTTCAGGCCCTTTTCTTCCGATACCATTCGTGCACTCTTTGCAATGTACTTGGCACGATAGCCAAATCCAAGTTTCATGAGATGTGCTTCGACGTTGGGGCCTGAGAGGGCCTCGGGCGTGGGGAAATCGTGGTAGGGTACGTCGTCGATGCTTCCTATAAGTGGACCGTAGTGCAAACAAAGATTATGCACCATGCCAGATATGCGACTAATGTTGTTGTTGCTACTGCATATGAAACCAATCAGGGCCTCCCAGGCATCCTGCCGCAATATCCTTATACCAGTGAATTTGGGAGCGCGCTTCTTGAAGTTGGCATCGGACGCTGCCCATTGCTCGTATAGCTGGCCCAAGTCGGGCGCGAGGTTGAAGTAGTGTTTGACGAGAGCAAGAGTGTCGTCTTCCTCAGGCGCAACCGAGGGCGCATTGGACGGGGGCGGAGTAGGAAGGGCGGTGGTAATAGGTGGGTAGGTGGCGCGGTAGTGGAGGTAGGCGGCATCTTGGCGGAGGGAAAGTATGCGACCGTGAAGGGCCATTGACCAGACATCATCGGCGGACTTTCGCCATCTGATGGCACGTTAGAAGCTGTTGCGACTCGAGTACAAGGGGCAACATGGGATGTACCTGAACGATTGCCCACATCGCAGGGTGGTGTTGATGCAGAGTTCGGTGAGGCTTGTAGGCAGCTTGTGCCATTCAGCTGCGCGCAAAGCCATGGTCAACAATAGTAGGAGAAGGGTGCATGTAGAAGCCCATGCGAGCAGGAGTGAATATACCATGGCCCGGCCAGGCCTGGGTGACAGGGGTGATCACGCCAAGGATACGCTAAGGCAGCCCCGACTTTCTCTCACACGTTTTCCGCGACGGCAACCGCAATCACCGCAGAAGCATCGCGTCCCAAAGTTTGGACAATTGCACGTGGTAGATTCATCAGTCGTTTCTTGATCCACATCTGCTAATTGCAGCTCGTCTCGCCATCTCACCTCCAGCAGCAGCAGAATCTTACGCGGCTGAACACTACGACGAGCGCGAGAGCTTCTAGCACCCACAACCGCCCACTATGAACGGCGATAGCTATTCCAGAGGTAAGCGACGTCTATCAGTACATGTACTGACTAGTGTACAGCTCCCAGAATCAAGACTAACATAAGCAGACGGTGGCCGACAGAGCGGATCGCGGAATTACGTGAGTGCACACACCCGTCGCGACATGACTGGGCACATGCTGACAAGACAGTCCTCGAGAGATGACCATCGCGATCGCGGCGACCGAAGCGACCGTGGCGACCGTGGCGGCGACAGGCGGCGACGTCGTTCACGCTCTCCCCGCCACGGCGGAGGCTCCCGCCGTGACTACGAGGTAGACACGTATTCTTCCAGCCGCGACTACCGTGAGCGCGAACGCGAGGACACATACGCACGTCGAGAACGCCGCGATGACCGGGGCGAGCGCGGCGAGCGGGGAGACCGAGGTGGCTGGGGCGACTCGTACTCGAGACGCGACCGACCTCGAGGAGACCGCGACCGCGACGATGACCGTGGCCACCGAAGAGAACGTGGAGACCGCAATGAGAGAGGCGGCGACCGATTTGGCGGCGAAGACCGCAGAGGTGGACGAGGAGGACGCGATGGAGGCTTCGGTGGCGGACGTGATAGGGCGCGTCAGGCAAAGGAAGACTCTCCGCCCTTCAACAAGCCGCGCGAGGCTACACCGGATCTTGCCAGCTTCACAAACATCCAGAAGCGCCAGCGTCGCATGACCCAATGGGACATCAAGCCTGCAGGCTACGAAAACATCACGGCAGAGCAGGCTAAGCTGTCGGGCATGTTTCCATTGCCCGGTGCCCCCCGCGCTGCGCCCATGGACCCGTCTAAGCTGGCTGCCTTCATCTCGCCCTCTTCCGGAACTGCCACAGCTGCCGCTCTCGCAACATCAGCCGCCAAGCAATCGAAGCGCCTCTATGTCCACAATCTGCCCTCGGGTTGCACTTCTCAGGAGATTATGGAGTTCTTCAACAACCAGCTCAACGGTCTCAACGTCGTGTCCGGAAACGACCCGTGCCTGTCAGCCCACATTGCTACTAGCAAGGAGTACGCTGCGCTAGAGTTCAAGGCACCCGAAGATGCGACCCTTGCTTTGGCTATGAACGGAATCTCTATGCGCGACGACGGAGGAGCTCCCGACAGGTCGGGTCTGTCCATCCGCCGCCCCAAGGATTACATTACTCCCTCTGCCGATGAGAACGCATACCCACCTGGCGACGAGATTTCCTCTGTTGTCAAGGATAGCCCTAACAAGCTGAGCATCGTCAACATTCCTACGTACATTGAAGAGGAGCAGATTCGAGAACTCGTAGAGACTATGGGCAAATTGAAGGCATTCACCCTCGTCAAGGACACCGGCACCGATCAGCACCGCGTAAGTATACTCTTCTAACCAAGCACGACTCGTAAGCTAACAGATCTTAGGGTATCGCATTCTGTGAGTACGCGGACAACGGAGTCATCGATGCCGTCATCGAAGGTCTAAACGATATCCCGCTTGGTGATGGCAACCTCAAGGTTTCACGTGCCACTGTCGGACTTCAGCAAACGACTGGTCTCGATGGTGGTGTTGGTGCCATCTCCATGTTGGCAGGAGCCAGCGCGGCCGAGAACCACGAGCACAGCCGTGTCATTTGCTTGATGAACATGGTTACCTCGGACGAGCTTCTGAACGACGAGGAATACGAAGGTAAGCTTGAAAAGAACCCACAAAGCATTGCACGATACTAACAACATCTAGAAATCAAAGAAGACATCGAAGAAGAGTGCGGCAAGTACGGACCCATCGTTGAGACCAAGATTCCCCGTCCCGCCGGTGCCCGCGTCAACCTTGGTGTTGGCAAGATTTACATCAAATACAAGGATACAGAGTCTGCGCAAAAGGCTATCAAGGCACTTGCCGGCCGCCAGTTCTCGCGGAGAACCGTTGTTGCGACCGAGTTCTCCGAGGAAGGCTTCGACGTCGATGCCTGGTAGATTTGGGGTTGTTTGAGTTGCGCGTTCGATTTCTTTAACTTGTGCAGTTGCACGTCATTATCGTTGCGTTGGGGGATACCAAAATCGAAGAGTGAAGCTGAGCATTTGTACACTAATTTGGTTCTAGGGGAAGTTCGCATGATTATGAGCGAGTTGGCGCAGGCATTTGCTCCTGTCTTGAATACCTGGGCTGAGGTGCTGCATGCGCTTCATGTAGCTTGCCTAGATATCGTGCCGTATTGTTATTACAGTCGATGAACCTGACTGCCCTGTAGTCTTACATGAGTGAGAATTTGTGACATGGATGTTGAGATAAAGTGCTGATGCTTGCGTGCGTAAACGGAACGTCCCGTGCTTACACTGCACAACATGCGCTTGGGATACAGCTGGGAAGTCCATGCCAAGGTTCGGCTACCTACAAACACTGAGCTCATGGAGTCACAAGGACAAGATATATGGGCAAGATGTGGCCAGCGCAATCTGGCTACTCCATGGTGTAGGCACCAAGTGAAGATACGGATTAAGAGATAAATCCGTGTAACTCCGCAGTAGCTAAACGATAGCTTCCGTCACTTAGCCGGCACTAATGACGATCAGGAAATCGTTCAGAAACGCAGAGAGGTTCGTCCGGCCCTGTAATGGTATGATCAGGCGTGCAGCCTCGACGGAGCTGGCTGGGAAGGTCTAGAAGTAAGTGACATCATAGACCTTCCAAAGGCATCTTCGCGTTGCGGGACGGGGAGATTGAAACCCAGACCCCGCGGTCTGTTAAAGCACGCTCGGCCCTTGTTAAGCGCGACCACATTGATACAAGGAAGTTAAAAGCGGAGGAGCGCTCTCAACGTCAACGGGCTTCCCTCTCGTCCGCTCCGACATCACTCACAAATACTACCAAACAACCACCATGGCAGGCATCGTCCGTTTCCTCAATTCCCAGCTTTTCGTCACACCTGTAAAGCCCAGCGGTGATCTTACTGGAAAGACGGTTATCGTCACGGGCTCCAACGTCGGTCTTGGAAAAGAGGCCGCGCGTCACTTCACTCATCTCAATGCTTCGACTGTGATTCTTGCCGTGCGCTCCATCGAGAAGGGTGAAGCGGCGCGTAAGGATATTGAATCCACAACAGGCCGCAGCGATGTAGTCAGAGTCATGCAACTGGACATGTCGTCCTACCAATCAGTTCTCGATTTCGCCGAAAAAGCTAGCAAAGAGTTGGAACGAGTGGATATTGCAGTTTTGAACGCCGGCGTGAACCGTGGCGTCTGGGAGGTCTTTGAACAAGACGAATCAACCATCACCGTGAACGTGGTGTCTACATTCCTGCTGGCTTTCGCTTTATTACCTAAGCTCAAGGAAACGGCGAACAAGTTCAACGTTAGACCCACACTTACCATTGTCAGCTCCGAGGTGCATGAGTGGACACCGTTCGATGAGAGGAATGCACCCGAGGGTAAACTCTTCGAGAGATTGAATGAGAAGGTTGTCGATGGAAAGGAAGTTGGACTCGGCAATCGATACCAGGTCAGCAAGCTCATGGAAGTACTATTCGTCCGCGCATTCTGCGAGCGATACCCGGAATCGAATATTCCAGTGACGGTGAATCTCGTTAACCCTGGCTTCTGCCACTCGTAAGTCATATCTTTTTCTCACGTTCGTCATCCATACTAATTGAGCAAACAGCGAATTTGGTCGGGAAGGTCCAGGGTTTCTCGCCGTCATGCGTTTTCTACTCGCACGTACGACGGAAGTGGGATCAAGAACTCTTGTGCACGCCGGTACTTCAGGTGTTGAGACCCATGGAAAGTATCTCAGCGACTGTGAGATTACTGAGCCGAGCGCTTTCGTGCGGAGCGATGACGGAAAGAAGGGTCAAGAGAAAGTCTGGAAAGAGTTGGTGGAGAAACTCGAGGGTATCAAGACTGGGATCACAAAAAGCTTCTAACAAGATGATGTAAACTCAGAATCGTTAACATCATAATCAAAGTAGTATAGTAGTTGCCTTCCACTAACTTTCTGTCCATGTAACCAATTTCCGGAATTGTCACACCTCCAACGTAAAAGAATCCTTCGTATATCCCACCAGATCCTCTGTTTATACGAAAGGGTTTCCAAATGTTGAGAGAACAGTGTCGTCGTCATACAGCCTCTCTCTTTGCTACCACTACTCACAAGTCTATCTCCGTCGCAGGTCTAGCAATATTGGCTCGCCAATGGTGCGCATTCGTCGGATTTTTCTGGTAGATGTTGACTTCAAAGAACTTGTTATGAGTCGCACACTTAAAGTTCTTGAACCTTCATCACTGTAAGCAACAACGCCTTCTCACATGATTGTTTCTCTTTGTATGCTTACGTGTTCAGCTTCTCGAAGTTCGCGTCGATGAGCCATTGCTCGGTCACCTCGACGAAAACTCCATCGGAGCCGGTGACGAAGTATCGCTTGCTATCAAGTGGACCGTAGTTCGTTTGCTTAACAACCTGAATTGCGAATGTAATGTCGGCTGGAGACGGCATCGTGTCAGGTGAGACTGCGCTGCTCTCTTTAGGATAGTTGGCCCAAGCCATGAAAGTCTGGAACTTGGATTCGTGAGACAGGATACGATTCTTGTACCCCTGAGTATTAGAACAACAGAAGATGGAAGACATGACTAGTGATGGAAGCGATGGTAGAAGTTTCGGTGAAAGCCTGTTTGTAGCTGAGGAATGAAATCTAGAGAGGATGTGATACCTTTATAATCGCCAAAACATTCTGACCGGCCAATAGGAGATGTTTATGCACACTTGAGGCCTACCAATGCTTTGACTTCATCTTGCATGGCCTAGCCGTATTGGATCTGAAAACGACTTTCAATGGAGCGATATGAAATCATGTGGCTATCTACCACAACATACGCCCTCCTGTCATTACGCAATCGGATGAGCGTATCCGGTCTCTAGTTCTGAACATGTGCGTGGTCTTAATCATCTCTCTGTGACGAAGAATACTTGGGAGTCAAAAGCATATTTACTAGTGTACTAGCGAAAGCCCTAGGGTTAATTACACTGTCTTTCAAGTGGCGAAGATCAACATGAACATCAAAGCACCATAGTTCGCATCAAGTTTCTACATTGTCTTTAGATAACTGCTACTTTAATCGCCCGTGACCAGGGTGCTGAGATTTGATATGCCGATTCAGATTGTCCTTGCGCGGCATACTCTTTGCGCACCACTCAACCGGACACACGAACAGCGAGGAACTAGTGTCTAGACCAAGCTTTTTTCGATGCGCTTTGGTCTGCTTGTGTCGTTCTAGATCCTTTCTAGCATCCTTGCTATCTTGAAAGTATGTATCGCAAGGTTCGCATTTGTAGGTATCGTGTGTCCGCAAGTGCAATCTACTGAGGCTTAACATTGTGAATAGGTTGCTCAATATCTTACAAACCTCAGTTTTGAGAGCTGTTGGAACGTCTTTCCACAGACCTGGCAAATATGGTTCTCAAAGATAGCAGCAGGCTGCTGAGGTTGTAGTGATGCTGACGATGGTGGTTCGTAGTCATCATATAGGGCTGCAAAAGAATGTTGTGACCATGGGGAGGATGTGACGTGATTGTTTAAAAGGGGAAATCCATTTATCTCGGAGGGTGATTGATGCTCTTCTTCGGTTTGTGCGGATAGGGAGGACTGGTGCGCTGGTGGAACACAGGATGGAGTTTCTCGAAGGTCGAGCAAACGCGGGTCAATAAAAAGATGATGATGATGTAAATCTTGGTCTTGAAAGGCGCTTCCTCTAGATTCGGAAATTGAACGCTACAATAAGAACGTAGCAGTGGCTCCTGTGTTCTGTAAGTACGCTCCAGGCTTCCAAGAACACGAAGAAGAGCGACGCGAGAGGATGAAATGAAAGACGAAAGGAGTGGACACTGAGGTGGCCACAGGCCCCACGGTGAAGAAGAAAAGCAGCATGAAAACAGGTCTTGAAGGCGACTATATGCTCACAAAAGCGAACAACGCGCTGATTGGTTTGGTGTAGGCCTCAAAATTAGCGTAAGCGTTGCGCCTATCACTGCCCTCCCTCAATGTCGCCGTAACCCGAAATGGGGTGCTCGGAACCTGGATATCAGTCTTTCGGTGCAACCAACAACTTAGTGACCAGATCTGATCGTGATTGGACATTACATCCTCGCCTAGTGCAACCAGATTCTTGTCGACAAGGATTCCTCTGTCATACTGCGCGGGGATTAACACGGATAGCGAACATCGTGATGTGGGGAAGATGATCGAGAAGACAAGTACTCGAATTGTTCTATACTACAAAATCTACATCTACTGGGTATCGTCTAATTCATTCATAAACTCCTAGTTCTTGAGCACGTAACGGTACCTGGGAAGGCCCTTCTCAAAGTCGACAATGACGTCGTTGGCCTCGGACATGGGCCTAACTTGGACCCAAGCCTTCAGGTTGGTCTTCTTGGCCAACTCCAACATGTCGCGGATGTGTTGCCTGGTGCCGATCAAGCTACCAGCGATCTTCAAGTTCTTGAAGATGAGGCCCATGGGGGAGAAAGAGGGCAATGGGTCGTCAGGAGCACCGAGCTGAACGAAAGTGCCGTTGACGTCAAGGAGGTTGAGGTACTGGTCCAGAGGGAAACCACCAGAGATGGTGGAGATGATGATGTCCAGGCCGGCGGCGTTCTTGGTCATCCATTCGGGGTCCTCGCCAGTGGCGATGAACTTGTCAGCGCCGAGCTCCATAGCATCGGCCTTCTTGCTTGAAGAACGGGAGATGGCAACGACCTCGTCGCATCCGAGAGCCTTCGCGAAAAGGAGGGCGAAGTGACCGAGACCACCAATACCGACAACACCGACGCGCTTTCCTGGGCCGGCACCGTAGGAGACGAGGGGGTTGTAGACGGTGACACCACCGCACATGAGAGGAGCGGCGTACTCTGAAGGCAGACCCTCAGGAATGGGAATGGCGAAAGAAGCAGGTCCACGCCAGTTCTTTGCGTAACCACCCATGGCCTTGTCGCCAGACTTGTACTTGCCGTTGTAGGTCATGACGAAGTTGTTGCAGTTGCTTTCCTGCTTAGTCTTGCAGGGCCTGCAGCTCTCGCAGCAGTCGCTCTGAGCACCAACACCAACGCGGTCACCGACCTTGAGGTCCTTGACATCGTCTCCTACACGGGTGATCTTTCCGATGATCTCGTGACCGACGACAAGAGGGTAGTCCGAGGGGCCCCAGCCGGAGCGGAGAGTGTGAATGTCAGAGCCGCAGACACCGCAGTGGCTGATCTCCATCTCGATGTCGGTGGACTCGAAGTTCTTGGGGGTGTAGTCACCCCATTGCATGTTTCCGTCGGCGGCAGAGGGGTCGTGAGCGACCCATCCCTTGAAGTCTGGTGAGGAAGACATGATTGTTTGATGAATGTAGTGGTGTGTGAGAGAGGTACAATTGTTTGGTGAGATGCAAACTCCCTACTTGTCCAGCTGTAGTCTTATACTTATACGCATTTTCTAGAAGTTTTCCAGCATTTGTAATATGTCAAGAGACGGTATGAGGTTACCGTATCACTATCCTAGTGTTTTGCTCTTTTGCCGATCTACGCCGTTGGTATCGGACCCACTTTGACGACGTTTTTGAGCCTCAAGCGGTGCGTGCACAACATATCCGTTAAACCCGCACTCACCGGTCCGATAAGGGTATGGGTCTGAGGCGACAAGTCTGCAAAACTCTCGGACGAGGCTCGCGGTGAAGACGTCAATCTGGGGCGAGTCCTAGAATGTGTATCATCGATCTGCCGGGACACGTGGAAACCCGATTAAGGAAGGCGTTTGCGCGACACTAATCTAGTTTCCGTTGACGTGTCGGGAATTGGAATCGATTCGAATCTTTCCAGGCTTCTAGGCCAGTCGCGTTGTTATGACAACTCTTCCTTTTTTCGAGACGAAATCTTCTACGGCGGGCGGCCTGCTGAACATCAACCCGCTCTTCGGCAAATGTCTTTGTCATGCCATTGCCGCAAGCTTCCAGCACTCGGCATGCTTGCTCAATGCCAGAGGTATATTGAAGAGCAACATATGATCGGAGATTACATCATAACAAGTTAGCATGCTGGCAGCAACCAAGAGAGCCGGGCAATCTGCGGATGATAAGATGTCACTGTTTCAATCAGCGTTGGGGAAGTCTCTTGATTTATCGTCTCAGTAGTTTTTCTTTTATCCATGCAAGGATCTTCTTGAGCACATATACCGCTTCTTCATATTCTTGCCACCGAAGGTCCACCTCTGTCCTCTTGTCTTCGAGCGGCTCGCTTCCTGGCAATGAAAGCCTTGCGTCGTATGATTGCGTGCCATCATCCAGTATGACTCTGATAGTACGTTCTTCTCCGACATGTTCGCAAAGAGCGTTCCAGGTCGGTTTTGTAACTTTCTCAAACAAAAGAGTGAGTTTGTCGTCTTTGTATCGGCAGGTGACTGGTAGCTTGAGGAAGAATCGTGGGGTGCGGGATCTCAATTCCAGGGGTAGTACACGTTCGCCGAAACCGTATGCGGAGCCGTATAATGCCTCGTTCAGGACATCGAACGTGCTTAATCTCATGGAGGCTGTCAGCATTTGCGGAGACATGGAAGAGAGCCTAGCAGGTCTTTGTATTGAAGAAGAGACTGTGTATTGTGAGGGAGTAGTGAAAGATCTCGATACTGAGCGTGTTGCTTGCGCGCGAATAAGTCTGGAGCTGCGCAATGGCCACCCTGTCTATGCACCCATGGGGTGAGTGTCCTCTTGCCTCACCGACTTTCTGGAATCACCAAAACCATGATTGCTCACAGGAGGACACTCGTTTCAAAAGGCGTGGCGGCATATCATTGGAGGATGGCGTTTCATGTGGAAGCACGATAGTTTCTTGCGGAAGACAAACTGAAAACGTCAAACACAATCATGAGCAAGAGCTATGTTGCGACAAGCTTTGGAAGGTCACCGTTGTAAACTGTGAAGGCTTTCGAAAGGTCGGGTCGGAAAGACCGAGGCAGAGTGACGCTTGGTCTCTTGGCACGCGTCATGTACCAAATCCCAGTGCAGAAGATCCTCTACCACCATATACAGCATCATGTCTCACCTTCGAACAATTCTCGAACTATCAAGTGCAGAGTTGAAGTAACGATATAAACCATCGTTTCTTTGTATTGAAAGTCTCTTGACTTTTAGAGTATGTTTGCCGGACTGCGTCAGAATATTGTCGCGTTACGCGTCAATTTTCTACTCTCCAAAACCGGCCGCCTCTCTCCGGACACAGACTGAGATTTTCACGAATAGCCACTTGGCAACGACATCACGATAATCGCATCCACAAGCAAATTTTCGTTCCTGATTACTGAGCTTGTCATTTACAGCTATCGTTGCATTATCCGCAGGCGTTCTCGGCCAGGCGACTTCTCTGCTTTGACTTTTTGTACATGGTTTTCACGCCTGATCTCAATCCAGCGATCCAAACGAGGGCGTGGTATCGTTACAGTCGGCCCTACATAGCTAGTACCACTTCTTGTTTGGAAAAAGTATCTTGTATGGAAGTCCAGCACAGTCGGACCGTGGCAAATCAGCGTGATAGATCACATGATGTGGATTTCGGGGGGGGGGGGGGTGGGGAAAGCTTGACAAGCCCACGCCCAGCTGGGGACGTTACTTATCACCATTTGCCCTGAATTATATCGCAAAGGTCGCGAAGATGAAGTGGCAAAATCCTTCGCAGATTGGAAGCAAGACAGTCGCTGATGTTAAGCTGATATAAAGACTTGTGACGTGCGGCAATTTCTTCCATCACACACAATATCCATTTATCCACCAGTTAGGTCGACTACAAATTGAATAATTGACCAGAGGTTGTCTGTTACGATGCCAATCAAGGTTGCGGGTGGCTATATCCGAGTCAGCCGCTACGATGGCGCTACCCGCGACGCTAGAGTTGGGGTAAACCTGGGGAAACACGATGGTGTTGCGGAAGATGACCGGTTGGCCTCTGGCGGTTGGGCATCGATCGTTGGGATCAAGACGCGGGAAGCGATCGCGTGAGTGGCGGGATCTAGACTGGTAGTTACCGATTATCCTTCCGTCAGAGAGGATTGGAAGTGGATTGGAAAGTGAATGAGGGTAAGAGCACGAGGAAAGCAATTATGGACGTGGATGAGGTGATGCAGATCATAATTCATGGACGATGGATATATACAGTGCGCAGCGCTATCATGCGAAACTCAAACCGCCAGTTGCGTATTTACAAGGGTAGTAGCGACTCTCATTAGTCTTCGTGAATTCAATGCGTCTCGGTGGTAGACGCTTAAACAGTGTGCTTCTCAGGGTATTCGTTGTAGGTGGCGCTCCTCTTGCGAGAAGCATCGGCCTCGATCTCGGTAAGGCTAGCACGGCGGTTGTCGGCGTGCATGTCCTGGACATCTTGGAAAGAGAGGGAAGGAACGAAGCCAGGGGACTTCCAGGCTTGGGAGCACTTGCCGTAGAGCTCGTCGACTTGCTCGAGAGAAAGTCCCTTGGTCTCGTAGATCATGGCCCAGACGAAGAAGATGCAAATAAAGCAGCATCCACCCCAGACGAAGAAGACCTTAGCACCCATGTTGGCGTTGCCGGGACCGTCATTGACCATGTATGGGGTAGCGTATCCAATGGCAAAGTTGAGCAGCCAGTTGGATGCTGTAGTCATAGAGAGAGACTTGGCTCGGACCTTGAGAGGGAAGATCTCACCAGTAACGACCCAGGCAACAGGTCCCCATGAGCAGGCGAAGAAGAAAATGTAGATGCAGACGAATGCGATCAAAGCCTTCTGTGCAGACTGGTTATCAACGCCAGCAACGGTACCAGTAATGGCGACGATGAATTGGCAGACAGCCATACCGATGGCACCGAAAAGGAGAAGGTTGCGGCGACCCCACTTCTCAACGAGGTAAAGACCAGGGAAGGTTGAGGCAACGTTGACGCAAGAGGTAATCATACTGACGACGAAGGGGTTGCTGATTCCGGAGTTCTGGAAGAAGGACGTTCCGTAGTAAAAGATGAAGTTGACACCAGTGAGCTGCTGGAGGGACTGGAGAGCACAACCAGTGAAGAGACGCTTTCCTAGGTTGCCGCGGAAGCAGTCGAGGTAGGTGGCCTTGCCAAGAGACAGTTCGTATTCATGGTTGGCAGTGATCTCAGCCAACTCCTCAACGAGAGCGGGATCCTCGACATTAAGGCGGCGAAGGGTGGAAAGAGACTTAGCAGCCTTCTCTGGGTGACCCTTCTTGATGAACCAGCGAGGAGTCTCGGGAAGCCAGATGCAACCAATGAAGAGAATGATAGCCCAGGCGAATTGAACAGCGATGGGAATACGGTACGAGCCGGTATCGTCCCTGTCCTTGGTGGAGTTATTGACGATAGCAGCAAGCAACAGACCGATGGTGATAGCAAGCTGGTAGCAACCGACGATGGTACCACGAATCCACTTGGGTGCGGTCTCGGATTGGTACAAGGGAATAGTGGCACTGATCATACCAACACCGTAACCAGCGAAGAAACGTCCAGCAACGAACATGGGGATAGCGGTAGCAGCAGTCTGAAGGATGACACCGACACAGAAGACGATGTTGCTGACAACAAGACCGAGACGGCGACCAAGGAAATCAGCAGTAGGTGCGGCAGTCAGAGCACCGAAGAAGGTACCAGCAGAGAGGATAGAGACGATCAACGAGGTTTGTTCGGCGGTGACATCGGGGAGACCGTCAGTACGGTTTTTGAAGCCAGTGCTGAAAAGCTCTCGCCAGTGCTTCATTCCTAGGATACCACCAATGGTACCAGTATCATAACTATGAAAGTCAGCATAGTCCTTTGGTAAGAGCTAGAACTCGCATACCCGAACAGAACACCACCGAAGGCAACAAACAAGCCGACCAGGATGGCGGGCGCTGTCGAGCCAGCTACGCCCTGAGGCTTCTTCAACATCAGACCCATGATTGGCAACGATCTGATATGTAAAAGAGATGGAGAAGGAAGACTCAAGTCTAGGGAGAGTAGAATACTCGAATGAGGATGTCTGCTACTTCACGGCGGGCTCACCATCTTTAAGTACATTTGGGGAAGAGTTTCCATGAGCCTGGGGATCTCCATGGGCAGCCGCCTAGTCTGGAGACTGGAAGCATGGAGTGAGCGCGCTAGTCCCGCGGCTGGCCAACAAGCTAGTGAGAATAGGTCCGAAGGTGCTGGGGAAGCTTAGTGTGTGGTCTTAGCCAGGATAGTGTTGGACCTAGAGCAGACGAGATGGGGACCACTCGTACATCGTAGGACTGTGATTATCAAAGCGCTCAGATCATCGTGAGCCAATTTTGGCCAGATTGGCAAACTGGGAAGTCGAGATTCAACTAGCGCAACGCTGTTCAGCGATTCCATGCCCGTGTTACTGGAACACGATGGTGAGTATTGTCAGTTTCCCAGAGACGACGTGCCAGACGCGGCTGGTCTTCTGACACGCGCGCTCAACAGTGATACGCAATTCGCGTGCTGGGGCGAAGATGTGGCGTGTGGGCAGTCTGCTGATAGGGCACTAGGCCAGTAGCGCTGCGTTTAGCAAACGCGACCTGTCAAGTCGGGTTCGTTTATGTCGTGAACCACTGACCTCATACCGGGGATAATGCATTCATGTGCAGACAGCCACCGTCTATCGCTACTGCTTGATAGACGTGACTGTGGAGCAATGTGTAGGATAGAGATGCGGGCTTGCTGTTCGTCATCCCTCGATCGTCAAACGATCACAACGCATCGCTCTTCAACGAGCGTCTGCGGTGTGTGAGTGTCTGGCCGTTGCAATTACCGATGGGCTCCCCAAGCTCAGACAAGCCTTTTCGTGGACGATAGCTTAGACAGACGGCATCGAGCTGTATGCAGTATAGTCGTGGAAGGATTCTGGAATATCGCTGCTTTGGTGCTCGGTATTGCTGACATTGGCCGACGAGCTGATACCAGCCAGCGATCTGTGAGAAACGGAGCGCTCATCGGAGAGGTGGGGAAAGAGTAGCGTGGCAGGATTTTGCTTCTGGGCCGCGCCAAAGTCGCATAGGAACGACAGGGTAAACGGGGTACATTAGTTCCCATAGCACTCCGTGAGGCTCAACAAGCATGCTTGATCACGCTAGCGTGGTCTCGGCCAACCATATGAGCCGGTTACAGTAGCCTCGAACCATGCACCCAGCGCTTGGTCGAACTATCGGGAGGATTTTCTCAAACTAACCAGTGCCGGACTGACGATGTGGTGATGATTAGCTGCACAATGCATCTGGAGGCGAAAATCTCGTACTCTGTATGCACGGAGTCTGTCAGCCATTCCGCTCAACAATCGGGGCCCATTCAATACCCTAAGGTTCCAAGGTTGAAGCAGGGCACGGCTGGTCATGTGGACTGGAGCCAGGTCAAGGTCACCCCGAAATACCTGGAGACTGGTGTCTGACCAGTAGCGCTGTATGGGGCACTGGTAATGTCGGAGCCGCCGCCTCCTCCCAGCAATCTTCCCCATGGAGCAGCAGTTTCATAATGATCACGAGACTCAAATATTAGCAGTCTCGTGATGGGCACGGCCGTGATGAAGGGGAGTTTGCAGACATGACGAGTCGGAGCCAAAGTCGCAGGTTATGTCAAGCTCCCGAGATCGCTGTTCAAGCTCCGAGGCCAAGGTGGCTTGGCGAAGTCACGGGGTCGCCGTGTGATGGACCAACACTTCGCCCGACAGTGTCGGATCGGAGTGTCTGACTCGCAAGCCGTTACTCTCATTGTGGATGGACGTCTTTACACCCTCTCATAGTGTGCTCAATCGATCTGGCCGCATTCCCTCAACCAAGAAATGTAAATCTGCAAGCCCCCGGGCACCTCCACATAACCATGTGAGACATGACGACAACGTCTGGGATTCATCGATGCCGTTGTGTTCAACGCGGGGGATCGACGTTAGCCACCTCTCCCCTTGGCACAGTCCTTCCACGAGTGGCTGTGAGGTCATGAGGGACACGACATCAGCTGAAATGCATTGCGCACGCAGCACCAAAAGGTACCATGGGAATACTTTGCTCGCTTGCAAAGAAGATGACGAGCTCTGCTCCGATGCGCATATTCGAGGCGCGCAACGTCTGGGCTGCGACTAGCACTCTTCTTCGTGGGGTGGCAGCAATGACGATGGCTGACGGATCAACGTTGACTCCCGTCGCATTGTAGCCAGATGGTTGCGAGATGGTGCATCGAGTTACTGCCACAGAATGAACAAGAGACAAGACGCAAGAGACGTGGAAAGTGGAAAGCAGTCCTCGCCAACCAGCCAATGAAAGCGCATCTCAACGCGTCGTCTGTTCCCCACCGAACGCGTCTTTCACCACCTTCACCGCCCCTCCAAACAACCTCAGATTGACGTCCAAGAAGAAAATGTCAGAAACCCCCGTTCCAGTCCACGAGCCGCCATCTCTGCCCTCATCACCCCTCCCAAAGCGAACAAAAGTCATTGACCCCACACCTCTCTCCCACGCCTCCACTCTACCACGAGGAACAGATTCGGGCGCCGCAACACCCACACCCTTGGCGGCTACACATCTCCCCAGCCACGACAACATGGCAGCACTACAACCCTCAGCGCCTACCGCCGCACCCTCATCAGCTGGAGCAGCAGCGGCAGAACAACAATTGCAAGTCCAATTGCTGAGCCCAAATGCCAAGGCGCCGACCAAGGGAAGCGCATTTGCTGCTGGACATGACTTGTACAGTGCAGAGGACACTGTGATTCCTGCACGGGGACGGGCTCTGGTAAAGACTGACATCAAGATCTCGGTGCCGGACGGGACATGTACGTGTTCCTATATTCAAAAATCCACTCTCCAGTCTCGCGATTCGTGGGCAATCTAGAAGCACGATGCTGATTGATCTCTTGTACAGACGGCAGAGTAGCACCTCGCTCCGGCCTTGCCTACAAACACGGCATTGATACCATGGCTGGCGTTATCGACGCAGACTACCGCGGCCCCGTTGGTGTCATCCTCGCCAATCTCTCAGAGACAGACTTTCCTGTCAAGATTGGTGACCGAATCGCCCAACTTATAGTCGAGCGGGTTGTCATGCCCGACGTAGTTGTGGTCGATCAACTAGAGGATACAGTGAGGGGTGCTGGAGGCTTCGGCAGCACGGGTGGCTTTGGTGCGGCTGCTGCTGCTGCAGCAACGGATGGTACCAAGGCTTAGGTCTGCATATGTCTATGATCTAGGGCATGCTGGTGAGCCACCGTGCTGATCGTGGCAAGAAGATGGATGCTTTGTTATCTAACTTAGTTCCAGTCTCTATTTGATCATCGAATCAAGGAGCGACCGATAGTTCGGCCAACGAAGCTTAACGCGGAACGGCTATGCAATCAAATATCATGAACTCTCGTCCTTCCTGACAGCTTTGCCCTGATTGCCTTCCTGTAGTACCTGCATCGCACCACCGTCCTTAGTTCCAACACCCAAATGCAGCACATTCAAGTCGTCAGGCGTCCTCTCGCCAACATGGTCAGGCACACTTTCGCCCTCGTACACTGTCCGTGGTCTGAACCTTTCAAGATCCGGCGGATCCAACATCTCCTTCACGTACCGCGGCACTGTGACTTCACTAGCATTCATGAGCGCCAAATGACGCTTCTTGCTAATCTCTTCATCCGCCTCGTCCCCTCCACCACGGCCCTCTTTTGCAGCGCGAGCATCATATGCAGCCATCTTCTCCTGGCAGACCGACGTTGTGCGCGTGAGTATGGCTTGCATAGACGCGAGAACTTTCTGGCAGGCTTTCGCCAAAGGAAGTTCCTCAGCCGACACATGGTCGGGTGACCGCCAGCTTGATTTCGCATGAAGATTGAACTCAGGCGTAGAAGCAGCGTGTACAGCTTCAATCAGACGGGGAATTGTCAGCGCTGCGAACATGTCTCCTGTCCCTGAGAAGAAGAGAGGTAGTTGCGGGGTGTCGATGCGGAAGAGACGCGGTTTGTAGTCCGAGGTTGCGGTGGAGCCAATGATGGTAAGGTTTTCGACATCGTTGAGGTCGATCTGTGGCGCTTGGGGTTGTGAACCTGGTTGGGATGCTGCTGAATCGAGATGCTGAGGATCCGAGGGAGTATTCGTGCCTGTGCCAGCCTTTGACACTGGTCTCGAGGGTATAGTCTGGTTGTCGCGCGTCAAGCGAAGGGACGTGATGATTACGTGAGGGACCTGGTAGGTCTTGTGAAGGACTTGGATCGCAGCGGCAAGGGACTTGAGATCGGTGATCGGCGTATCAGACAGTAACCTATGCTCTATCAACAAATGCCACGCTTGGTTCCGCAAGACTTCGGGATTTACTTACTCGGCCTCGAATTGGTTCGGGAGAATGAGATCTGCTTCGCGCAATAACCCCTTGTACTCTGGCACCTCATCTTCTGGAATGTACAACTTGCCATTGTCGCCCATGACCGGATCGAGCACTATCTTGGTTAGTCTTGTACCTGTCACCTCGCGCAGTCACCCACCCCAGAAGAAGCTGCCAGGCTTCGTGCCAGCATTGAGCTTGATATCCCTGCCAATCGTCCCTATTGCTTGCACGGCCTCAGCGCTGGGCATGTATCCTGTCAGGAGTACATCGAAGTTGGTGAGGTTTGATTGACGTAGTCCTTCATAAAGGTCGAGGATTTCGGTCGCGGATGTTTTGGTGCCTTTGATTTGCTTGTATGCCGTGTGATTGCCTGAGTTGTTAGCTATGCGCTTGTCCAAGAAGGATGCCGGGTGCACCTACTATAATGCACCGTGTTGATTGCGGATACGTCGCAACCTAGCGATTGCATGACAAGAGTGGCCATTTTGTTCCCGACATAGCTCAGCTCAATGTCAGTGAGTTGCATGTATCGCGACGGCACGCGACTCACCCATGGACTACCTGTCGCATGTTAGTTACAAGACATGTCTTCCGCCTGTGAGTCTTACATGACTGGCAATCGCAAGCACGCGCGTGTCCGGTATTAGCGTGTCGGAGGCCATTTTTACACCAGAGAGAGAAAAGAGCAGGTAGAGGAGGTGGAATGCAGGTACAAAAGTGCACGCGGGGTATGTTGTTGATTTACTATGTTGATCTTCCTTATCTGAAATTCCACGCGGTATGACGTGGAGCGTTAGTGGGGCAGTGACTTTCCTTTTGTGCCTAGGGCGCGGAACACCACGCGGGACCGCCTACTCGCCAATGTCGCACACCAGAATCATGAACCTAACAGACGCTCGATGCATATCAAAGCCATTGCGCCGCAAATCCCCCACATCTATCCTGAAAACATGCCGCTCGTGTGTCAATGAAATCATGATGCGTTTACTCTTCGTCGCCAATCTGTCCAAATTAGCTATGGTACTGCAATAGTGAGAAGTGGGTTCTTACCTTGGGTGCGAGGTAGAACCTCAGGTAGCTCTGATCCTGGAGAGCGTACTCAACCAGCAGAGGCACCTCACTAGAAAGGCAAAGCTTGACTGAGTCTGACAGGCCACTGGCCTTGCAGAAGTTGGTCAGGTACTTCAGCGAGAATGTAAGGGAGACGGGCTCGTTCATCTCAATCAGGACAGCCTCAGACTCCTTTTCGAGACTAGGGTCTTGCTTGAGGATGACGGAACCCGAACCAATGTCGCCAGAGCACGCAAACTTGACGCCCTCCTTGGTGCACTCGATTGAGACTAGATAGACATTAGCTCGTACTTCAACTTCCGGCCACGCTGTCGCAAATGTCAAAAGACGTACCCGACTCGGACAATGCACCCAAATCTCTGCAGATGCGCTGGAACTCAGCAGCAGGCAGCGTGATTGTGGCTGCATAGTCCGTCTCTGGAATACCCAGGTGCTCCTGGTCGATGTCCATGAGCTTAATGTCATATTCGCTGATTCTGGCTGCGCTCTTGGTCTCGAAGACCAGGTTGACAACATCTGGCGCATCCTCGGCCTTGATGGTGAGAATATCGTCGCTTCCAGCAGCACGAAGCACCTTTGTGAGGGATCCCAGATTGATACCGAGGGCGATGTTGCGGTCGCAGCGGAAGGGCGAGAAGGCTTCGGACTTGAGCATCATAGAGACGAGGGCGACGTGGGAGTTGTCCATGGCTTGGAGCGCGATGCCCGAGTCATTGCAATCGAAGTTGCAGTCCTGCACGAGATCCTTGATAGCGTCGACGACCTGTTCATCGTTAGAACAGCTTTCGCCGAGCTCTATTTGCGCGAGTGTACCTTCTTTAGGACGTTGGCCTGGTTTAAGCGTGCCTCAAGCACTGTACTTGGTTAGTTTCGTTCGCTACACATGGCAGGAAATACACACTTTTGAATATGGAGGAAGATTAAGTGAGTACGATGGCGCTAAAGGGGGTATACGAAGCGTGGTTGTGCAAGAGACAATTGCGGTGGAGGCAACAATCAATGGAGGGGAACGCGAAAGTGGTTGGCAAACGCGTCGGCCACGCGCTAAATCAGCACAGGGCATAAAGTGCCGCCAAGACCTTACATTGTGTGCCTGAGTGGTGCCGGATGCAGCAGGAGAAGTCACGGTTTGATAAGTGCTTAGTACTTTGTTCATAGACGTAAAAGCTGTCTTCTCTTTGGCTGGGCTTTTGACACCCTCGCCTTTGCGCATAGTAGCGATTGCCCACTTTCTGGCTTATGGCAGAGAGCGTCTTCTCCGGTGATATTGGAGTATCTCAGAGCTTGTGAGCTTCGAAGGCTAGTGCTCTTCCATGTCGTCAAGACCACAGCATCTGTGGTTACCACATGTCCAAATTCTAATGGTCGACCCGAGTTGCAGTGTGCAGCTCCATGATTTCACGCCCTGACCAAGCCATAGAACAACGTCCAGGTAAGCACGAATCCCATCAACCCTCCAAAAACATCCCCCAACCACAAGTCACCCAGTGGCCGATAGAAGTATGCGCCTGGCTTGCCATCTGTCTTGAGCGCAAAGAGCAGCACCGACACCACTAGCGAGCCCAGCAGATAGAATATGAAGCCTGCATACGACTCGAGGCCTAATGTGCCGGCGGCGACACCGAAGAGCGATGCCGTGAGACTGCGGATATTGGAGACAACCTATAGCACGAACGAGTTAGTGGACAGCGCAAGACTGGTGTGGCTTGGACAAAGGCGTACCTGGGTATTGTGCTGGACGCTGGTGCCGACGATTGGGTCGATGGCAAGTTGTCGCTCCTGGTCCAGGGCTGATGCCGCCATTGTGTATCTAGTGTTGTGTGTTATGCGCCTGGAACTTGACAAGTTCCGCTGGTTGTTGCGGAGGTAGTCGGTCGAGGGTCGGGGTGTTTGATTCGGCCGTACGGTTGCAACTTCGTCCGGGCGGCTCGATGGATGCTCGGATGTGACGTCGCGCCGATGTGCAGCTGTCGGAGATGTTTGCGACGAGAGCGGGACTTCCGGAAAGGCTCCAAGATGTGCAGTGACGCTATGTTGGCTGCTTGTGATACCTCTCGTTATGGGGTGACGGTGTTGGATGCACGGAGGTGGGTTGTGGTCCGTGCCGAGACCCTGACAGCATCCTGTCCAACCTTCTGAGCGCCTGCCAACATGCATCGACATGCAAGGTATCGCGATTCGAGAATATGTCCATTATGGTGTACCTGCTAGCTAGAGAATTTCTACTAATTCCACTCACACGTCGTCATAGAGAGGCCCGTACCCGTCCAGATACCTTGGCGTGTCAGCTTATTCCGTTGCTCTATCGTGTAGACTAAGTCCTTACTGTTCCAGATGCGGTGATAGGAAGTAGTTCGGGGTATCTCTTGCGGCTCGTAAATAAGCAATTGCTTGTTGGAAATACCGACCGTTCGCCATGACGGACGTGATGTTTCCAAGGCTCGTAAACGCCTCGGCAGCCTACACAAGGTTAACGAGACGAGCTATTGGCCGAAACTTTACTCACCATAGAAAGGAGATGTCCAGTAACGATGCCCTGTTCTGTTGCTACGTATACCGCACGCTGGAGATAGTCTGTGGCTGGCAACAGTAATCCTCGCGCTTCGATATAGACTGCTTGGTGTAGTCGTTGTTCGGCTTCAACCAACCCCCTTGTTGTTGAGCTTAGCAGTCTAAAGTTGCTTGTATCGCTACTGAAGGAATTTCTCTCTGTACGCGCAATGCTTGACAGAGCCTTTTGCGCTCTCAGCAACCAGTTTCGACCGATTACTATAACGATTAGCGGTAATGGGCATGTATATATATATATATATACAAAGGCACTTACGAGTCAGAATGTCGACATTGTCGGGGTATATTTGGAGTAAGGTCACTAGCTGACGCAGGCACCAATCTGCTAAGTCTTGAATAACACCGTTATCAGCATCGGCGAAGGCTACACGCTGGAAGACGCTAATAAGAGGCAACTGCCAATTCCTGCGCTCTTCTTCCGGGACGCTATCAGTTATTTCGAAAGAAACTATCGTGTTGCGAATTGCTGGTAGTTGGTCCCGCCACGAAGCAGGTGAGGTATCGAGATTGGTGTTTATGAGTTGGACAGTTTCCATCAACCTTTGTATCATGCTATCATCCATGTTGGCAAGGAAATGTCAAGTGTGGGAATCCAGAGAAGAAAAAACAATGTGCGTGTGTCGTATGTAATCGTGATGAATAAAGTATATGAGGCAGCCATCCAAAGTACATGTACATAGACATGGTTTGATAGACGGCCCTGCTTGGAAGGCTACGGCTCATACTTGTGACTGTACCCGCCACGGGCGAAGCAATTTGGCACAGTGCCCGGATACCCTGGAGGTTGAAACGCGACTAACCGTTGTCATAAGCGGATCTTGTGTAAGCTATCCGGATAGACCAGACTGGATCAAGTAAACAGAAGTATCTAGATACGCGTCTGCGGGTTGCGCCGAAGCAGTACCATGGCGCGACGACCCCCATGCTCGTGGCTGTAGCAGCTAAGTCCGAGCATGAGGGAAGTGGTGGCAAGTAGTCGAAAGATGATGGGATCTTGCTGTAGATGCAGAGTAGTTCCTCCGTTGCCTGCGGTCCTGTTCCGCGAAGCGTTGTCGACAGTCAGTCCTTCTTTTCGAAATGTGTACAAGGTCACCATGTCGTGCTTGGTAAGCCCGCGTCGCGATTAGCTCAGCACGGAGAATTGAGATGGAACTACAGAGTTGCTTTTGCGGGATCTGCAAGCCGGCCACGCTGCAGATGCCATGCTGCAGGTACGTCATCGGCACTGTTATCGATTACGACGGCACCCGTACCTTGCGGTGTATATACAACACCTGAGCCTCGTTGCAGCATGTCGGACGTGTTGGAAGCCGAGCATATCTAATCAGCCGGAGCAGCGAGTAATCCACTAGTATGGATTGAATGGGTCGGAGGTGGGATGGGGAACATTGGTCCGTCCAGCGTCTAGGATGGCATGGTCAGAGAATATGTGAGGCTATGCGACTGACTCGCCGCTGCTCCGGAGGCTCAAGAAGGGGCGCGTCCTCGACGGGTGCAGTGGACACACAGTTGGCTGAGATGGTTGTCGGCCAAGGCAGTGGTATACAGGCCAAAGCGACGAGCATGCACAGCTTTCTGGTCAAGACGGCAGCCACGACGATTGCGCCTCGAGGTTACGCGCGCATATGCAAGGAACAAGGGGTAAACATGTCTGAGGGGGGTGTGTTTGCCGGTGCGTAAACCGTAAACGAGCGAACGTTCCCCATGAATGTTTCATGCCAATCACAGACTACTGGCTCATTTCCCGGGACCCTGAGCTTAGTACTACTATTAGCTGACCATCCGAACCGAACTACTACATGTGTCTACAACCCTCGTTGCCAGCTGCTTGCCCTACCCACAACAAACAACACCTGCATCGCCCTCATCCACGTCTCCCACGGCCACCATTGGACCCCACGCCGACCACGCGCCCGCCGCCCCTGCAGCTGCCATCCCCGCCATCTCCATATCACGGGCACCTTCCATCTCCGGATTAGAGCACCCGCAGCCATCACAAGCGATTGAGCGGGAACCGACGACGACAGCCAAAATCGCACCATGCGGCGGTAGCGACATGGAGAACATGATATCCGACGACTCGCCTCTTGCGCAGTTGCTTGAAGGTGGGCTGCCCCTAGCACGATGACGATGCCGTGCGCCGTGGGTACTAACCGCCGTCCAGGACAAGGCACTGCGCCATCACCCTACGATGACCACGACCACGACCACGACCACGACTCCGAGACATCGACATCCACCAACTTCCCGCAGAGCTTCGCGCCCCGCGGACCGTCGACGCTGCAGTCGAGGATAAGAGACCGGCTCCCACAGCCGCTGCGCATCCACGCCCGCCATGGCTCCATCGCCCGCATCCACACGGCCTGTTCGGTACGTGTGCGCCTTGGTTGTCTCGTACATGCTCGTTAACAAGACACAGAAAGCCGTCAACTCCCGCATCGGCCGCGCAGACAACGAACGCTTCCTCGAGCAGTTCCGCTACCTCATCGTCGCTTCCCAGCTGCTCGGCGAGCAAGGAGGCCTGCGCGCATCCGTCATTCCCAGCTTCGCGACCGACGGACGCCCCGGCTCTCACGAGTTCAAGGTCGCCCGGATAAACCCCATCGGCGCAGCGGCCACGGGCACGACGGCCTTCGCGCTGGCATGGCTGGTGCACTGGTCGCGCCGCCAGCCCGTCTTCAGCAAGAGCCGAACCCTGCTGGTGATGCTGGTCTTCGCTGTTGTCTTTACCGCCGGTTACACGTACATGCGCCGGCAGTGGCTGCAGTATCTGCGTCAGGAGGCCGTAAAGGGCGCCTCGGACCTGGTCACAAATCTACAAGCCTTCGAGGCTTCGACGTCATCTGCCCTTGCCTTGATCCAAGAAGTGGAGCTCGTGTCACGCGGCTATCGCCTGTACGTGACCTTGCCTTCCGCCATAACTCTGCAGCCCGAGTGCTAACACCATGCAGGAGCAGTCCCTTGCCTCCCATCTCCCGCATCGAAGAGAAGGGGCAGGCCCGTCGCTGCCAGCGGCTGCGCAAGAACCTCCGAGCTGCATACGCCGACATCGTTCCCATACTCACTGAACAGTGCCGTAATCTGAAACAACTAATTCAAGAAGATGATTTGGAAAAGTATCTCGACGTATACGAAATCAGCAATCCCGACATGCAAGAGGCCGCCCTGGGCTACAGCGAATCTGAATTCGACGATGCCGAAACGTTAAAAGTCCTGCGCATCCTGCAGTATCGGTTATCAATCCTACGACGTGTATACCTCTGTTCTCTCCTGGCAATGGAGGCAGATGGCGGCAAACCCGATTTTGCGCGATGGTCGACAGTGGTCGACTCCATGTTGAATACGGCTCGCCCCGTCGGAGAGTGGAGCGAGAAGTTCAACCGCGTGCTCGCTGAAGAAGAGCAGTTCGTACTCCCATCGCCGGCCAAGGTCGCACCAACTCCTGCTCGAGACAAGATTCGCAATTCCGTGCGCAAGTTATCTGGATTGTCGAGCGGTATTCGCGGTCTGCAAGCCAAGATGCAAGTACTCCGCGAAGAGACCAATAAGAGCTTGGAAGATACCGAAGACGTAACCGACTTGGGTCACTCCCTCCTCGCACAATACGATTCAATCGGTGCAGATCTCAAGAGTTTGGTGCAAGCTTGGGAGGCAGGCAAGAATGCGCTCGCCCTGAACATCGATCGGCATGAGCGCAGGATCTCCCAAGCATCCAGCGGTCTGCGCTCGCCTGTTCCAAGTCTAGGCGGTTTGACTGCTGTAGATGAAGGCAGTCCGTCTGATGCTCTGCGTGCTCTTAATGGCGACCTGCTGAGTCCCCACCAGAGCGCTCCATCGAGCGACCAGGGCAGTACGTCCGACGACGAAGTTTTCGAAGCTATTGCCCTTCCAAAGACACGAGCTACAATGTCGAGAGAAGAGCGCATGCAGAAGATCCAAGACGACCGCGCTCGTCAAGCCTCGTTACGTGAACAGCGAGAATCGAATACCAACATGCTGCGAGAATTGGAGTCAGTCATAAATCTAAGGCCACACCGAGTCTCAGCGCCCCCAGCCGGCGCACGAGTTACCAGTCTCTGAAGCATCAATTCCTTTTGTTCACCGTTTTGGACTAATTCCGGCTACCAGATGTCGCATCTCTTTCGCTTGCTTTGTTTCTTGGCGCACATCGGGTCTCAATTTGATTCTGGGCATTTACGCTATACCACTGCCGCGGTCGCATTTACTTTTCTATCACATACCTTGGAGTCGCAGGACTAATGTCTATAACGCATATGTTGTGGTCAGAATACCCACACAGAATAGTAATGACAAATATCAATATCGTTACGTATAAGCTCGGTTCTGAGGAGCTCGCAATTAGCTCTATCGTCTTTCCAGCACTTGGACAACTTGGATCACGGGCACGGGACGACGTGGCTGGCGTGTTAGTTTCGGGAAATTCACCATCCTTGAACATTCTGGTAGCGAAAAACGGCTATTGGTACTCCACAGTACATGTGACAGGAAGAGCCAGTAATATCTTACGACGAGATGCACATACTAAGGTTGCGAATACACTCGATGTGTTAGCATGCATTGTCTTGACATCAAACAGCTACCTTCCGTTCAGATGGAAGCAATACACTTTTCATCATCTTTTCTATAAAAGTTGCAGCCGAAGAGGCTGTTCACCTAAGCGACATGCTCTTTCTCTTTCTTTGTGCATCACTAAGCTACACAGATGAGATGCAAGAACTGACGAACCACGGATTACTCCGGAGAGTTGCCCTAAACAATGCCCGGTGACATTTTGTCCTGAACGCGTTAGGGTGCAGCTGAACCCGAGTTCACTATGGAGCGCGACTGATGGACTAACCGCTCTTGCCCAAGACGACCAGGTGATCCTGACTCGTTGGCACCAGCGCCTGCCACCGACCTCAGTCATCGTGTGAACTTGCTTTTTGGACCATCTTCATCTCGCCCTATTGCTAGGCAGCATTGAATGACGACGAACGGCTCGCTTCTTTTGTGTTCTATCCCTGTTTCTACGACTCTCATGAACAGGCAACGTCAGATCTAAACGCATTTCTCCGGGTTCACAGCTGAAAAAGCAGCTAACGACACGGCCCCTCTGCCGAGTACCAACCTAGGAAGATCACACTCTTCTCAACACGAATGTCGATGTCTACTCGAGAAATGCCACTCTAAGGTATTTGCATCGTAAAAAAGAGATATAGAAAAGGATAGAAAGAGACGTGAAAGACAGAGCCAATCGACAAGAAACTTAGAGCACACCAAACAATTCGTCCTTGCTCGGGACCGGCTCCACCGGCCCGCGTTGACCCGCGATAAGGATGGTTGCTACCACACTCGTCTATTGTTCGTCATCATCCACGATGCCATCGGTTCGCGGTACGGGAGGAGGCGCACCGTGTCGTCTACGCATATGGACTCTTAGCCCATCTGATCGAGCATATTGCCTTTCACAACCTTCAATGGGGCATGGATATCGAACTTTGGCCCGACTGGATCCTGCACAAGCCTGAGTCTTGAGGTGACGCGTTAGATTTCCTAATGCGTGTACACCTGTTAAGACAGTGCCACAGCGATACGGACAGAGTACGCTATACTCGCCATCGATCGGAGATGTCTCTAGTGACTGGACCAGTGGCATGGAGTATCTGACGTCTGGAGGTGATGCGGAGACGTTCGTCGTTGGAGCAGCATAAGAATATTGCGGGCTTTGGCTTTACGCCAACATCAGCGCCAGCGAGCAAGTTTCGAGAGTACCACATACTAGCTTGGCGTAGGGGACGAAGGCGATGGGGACACATGCGCCGGTCCTACGGTAGTGTACCCCGGATCTATTGGGTAACTGGCTGCTGAATAAGTACTTTCGTATCTGTCACCTGGTCAGCGGATGCCTGACATTCATCATGTGGCATGCACGTACTGATACGAATTTGCATAGGGCTGCAGCGTTGGACAACCAAATGTTGGCACTGGACCATTCTGCGGGACAGCTACTGTGCTAGTACGATATTGGTATGCGCTGTTGTGTCCTAGCAAGAGAGGTTGTTGGTAGCTGCTGTTGTGGTAGTAGGCCTCGTGAGGCTGGACATACGTGGGTACTGACGACCAGCTCTGCTGAACGTACTCTTCAGATTCAGATCCAGGAGAAGTTATCCTCCCTGCCTGTTCCGCTCCACTATCGCAAACAATTGCTGATGCGAACGGTGCTCTTCTCCTATACTCTCTGTCTTCTTGTGACCAAGGCACCTCGTCGCGCCTCTGTGTCTGATCGTACGCCATGAAGCCAAGGTTACCCGAGACCGTCTTGGAAATTATTTGAGAAGACTTTGCCCGTACAGACGTACAAAGCAGAACAACCTCTTCGACAATATGATCCTGATGGCTCCCATAAGATGACGCGAAGCTGGTTTAGTGGTCGCTAAGCCAACTGTCAAGTCAAGCGAAGCACCTGCGTGCGCTATGTCTTTGTCAGTTTTCCACTCTTCGGCGAAAGATCAATATATTGAAAATGGCTTACAGGTCCGCGTCTATGAGATGCAAAGAGGAATGACCACCATAAGAATGGATTCTCGAGTGACCCAGGATACGCACAGTGTTTATCTTGCTATACGTACTTAGTAACGAGTGGTTTAGAAGACACGCTGCAGACGTTGGAGGACCCTCGGCTGAGACACGACAGCCTGTTGCACGAGCAGTCCGGAAAGGTCAACACCAGGGCATATCGCGCCTCACCGTGTATTTGCCTGTCAAACCGGAACGCTGATCTGCCCTGTCAACATAGCTGCGTCTCAGCTTAAAGGGCGAGGGATTGTGCGACACTTCTTAGCTGGTTTTCACGCCAATCAGCTATGCCAGAGCGGCACCGGATGTGGCACAGTGCATGAGAAGCGTCGTTGGCCTCTATGCTATGGCCTTTGCCGCCTAAGGTGTACTTCAAAATTACAGTGTGCGCGCGGCTGCGGCTGCCGCGATGGTACGCCTCTTTCGAAGACCACCCCAGGAAGCAGGCAAATGTCCTAAGACGTGCAGATACGGCCACTTCCTGCTGGGATACAGTGATGCCATGTGCACACCTGGTCGCCCACACACTCGTCCGGCACCTTCCCGTCATTGAAGGTCAATGCGCACTAACATCGCCGAGGACTACAGGGCGCTCGACCTCTCAAGCCAACGAGCAGATACGGCTATACCTGAGGATTCAGATAGTCACTTCACCAGCTCATCGAAAGCATAGTTCCCGCAAATCTCCAGAGACCTTCAGAGCTATCCTGTCGGTATCGCAGATATCAGCAACAAGCATAATGACGGACGAAACGGGCGAGTAAGTCATATGTTCTAGCCTTGTTCACCCATGCCGTCACGTTTTACGCTTCCTGCGCGTCTGACTTGCAGCGGGTTTGTGACGAATACGAAGCTGCGTGGCGCTCCGCCAACGTTGGAAGTTTAACAAGGGATCTCCTGTTCGAACACATGTATTACGATATCGAGAACGCTTTCTTGCAAAACAAAGTGGATTGACGGGACGGCTCGCGACCGGCGCAGCGCCGGCTATTAGTGGAAACTTCTCTCGCTCTTCGATACCTTACCGATAAACCCGACCGGCCCGACGGTTTCCCTATCGGCAGGGAGTTTTCTCCCGCACAGTGAAGTATATTTCGGGAGGAGCAATACCAGCAAAGAGAAGACACTGGATTCTATGGAGACGAACATGGGACTAGATGTCAAAACTCGAGTCAGACGCCCATCTTCGCTACCCAATGAACATCAATATGTACAGGCTGCAAGGGCTTGGAGAACGCAACTCCAGAGGGGCACCCTGCTGAGCAACGGTCTCCTGGATAATGTGGTTCAATTCATCGCCGCTACAAGAACACGTACCCAACCACTTGGTTTCAAAGCAATGGTCTTGACCCAGCTCTACGGAACAAAGAAAAACCATTCGCGCTCTCCCACACCTAAACTTCTTTATGGTGATGACGAATATGGCTGCATGTCAACATGACTCGTTAAAAATGAAATCTGGCTAGCGGAAGCCAACATACACCTGAGGTTCAGGTTGTGAAATAGGCCACGGTTCTTGTACCATTTCGGCATACGTTGGCTAACATTTATGTGAATGTGCTCCAAAACGCAGTACCATCGTTGACAAGGTTCCCGTTACATGGTGCGATACGCGCATGGATGGCTTGTACGTAATGGCTGAGATCGGCAGCGACAGGGGCTTCTGATATATTGGCAGCGGCAAATCGACTATATTACTCTTGGTACCTCCTAAGTCCCTTATACCCCTCAAAAGAGCAACCATACTCGCCGTCGATAGTCTGCAATGCATTGCATCGGGACAAGTTCTAGAAGGACGCCACATAGGAAGAAGCGGTGTGCACATGAGCATATTAGATATACACATCTGCCTTTGTTGGAAGGCATATACTACAGTGTTTGCTATGAGATCCGGGACTACAAATCCCGACGACTGAGAATCGACTTGCAAGCCAGCAGATACACGAACAAATCTGATCAACCGTGGTGACTTGCGCGCAAAACCCTTGAGAGGAAGCTAGTAGACTCTAATGCAACAGCAGCTAGAAGCTACTCAGATCACCCTCACAGGTCGATCCGGAACCTTGCACATGCTGTCCTACAATAGGCATTTTCCGTCGCACTGACATTGAGGCCTGCCTAGGCCAGCCTGTCGCACCGGAAAAAGAAGACTTCCACTATTGTAATCAGGAACCAATACATCTTCTGTCGAATAGACGACATTAACTAAGACTCTTCGGGTGATTGAGCCCCGGGTCGTTATCACGTAGCTTCGATGCAGCTATGGTCAATCATTCGATCGGTTAGCCTGTAACAGTAGGTGCTTTAGATAGTATGGAGTGAGCTTGTCGTACCAGCAATCGATGATCGAGAGGCAACGTTACACTAACTTTGTTTTGACATCATGGGATTACAGAGTAGTAGTACAAGTGATCAATCAGCGTGCAAGGCCTAAGAGCACGCAAATCTTTTGCCTTTTCTTGTACATGGAGCGAAAACCGAACACCAAAGGAACGCCTGAGAACGCAACTCATCAACCCGCAAAAAGGCTCTCTAGCAACGACATCTAGGATTCTGAAACAGATGCAAGCTACATCCAGGATCTGGCATCACCTTTTCCGCTTCTTTGCTGGTGGGGTATTCAGCTCCGGATGGCTTCGCCGGAGGTGGACGAGCAGTGCGTCTTCACGCCCAAATGTCGATGTGCATCCTGGTTGCTCGCAACGGATATGTCTGTTGCTTCTCTGTCCCAGGCAGGGTTCGTGTCTGGCCATATGACGATTCAGGTTTCTCTGTGCGTATTGACCAGTGAATGGCGGCTTATCCACGCAGACAGAACAGTGCAGACTCGACTTGTCGCTTCACGTAGGTCAGCAATGTTCATGAATGAAGTCTTTTGGCCTACCCACTTGGCTATGTTTGAGCTATTATCCTCCTTATCGTTGGCCGTATCGGAAGCTGGAGGTGTTAGGTTCCCTGTCGTTGAGTCTGGATCCAAATCCGCAGAGTTCCATGTTGAAAGATATCTGCCGTCCGGTATGTTCATGCTGTTCACCTGCTGCTGCTCGAGATACCGCCTCCGGTCTGAATAACAGGAGGTTGCCGCAGGCGATGGCTGCCAGGACCCTCCTACAGACACCGTGCGATGATCGATACGAAGGTGAGGATACCTTGGTGGCAGAGACGCTAGGTGGACATTCTGTGCTGCTTCATAGACTGAAGGCGGCCAGATGTAGGCAGCGATCTCTTCTGATGGCAATGAGTCTGATTGGTAGGCCCACGCAAGTGTGCGCTCGTCAGCGGTGTGTGAGGCGAGGTACGTCTCGTCATTCGGATCATTTGAATCGCTCTGCTACAGAGTCAGCTCAGCAAACAACGCCAATATTCTGCACCACATTTTGATGAGATCTCTATCATTCTACTCACCATATCGTCAAAGCCATATGTGGTCCTGTACGATCGAGTATTCTGTACTGGCATCATGTTTGCATCGTAGGCCCAAATCGCGTCTGACAACCTGTCTAGGATCGATAGGATACTAAGGTGCACAAAATGAAGCGTACGATTGCAAGTCCATCTAAAGATTAGAAGTCGATCAATCAGTGCTTTTTGACCAGGTGAATAAGGACCAAGAAGCTCGTTGCGATTAGACGCTCGACGGCCGCCGCAATCGAAGAGTGACCTAGAACCCCGACAACTCATCATATGTGCCTCGTGTGGACAACGCATAACCAGACATATTCTGAGGCGAGAGCAGTGGTGCTGTGTCGCTATCTCGCTGGATGCTATCCACTCATAATTGGGCTGTATTGGTTGCCTCGTTACCACGATGTGCTGACGACTAGTTGCCTTCTGGCTCACCGGTCCTGATAATACGTGGACGAATCCCAAGTCCTCGGAAAGGGCAGATAGCGCCGAAGGCGGCATACAAAACTCGAGAGGGAGGCCTCGGAAACGAATCCTGTCTTGTCTCGGCGTGGGCTATGTGTTGGCGAGTCCATGATGCCAGAATCGGATCGGATTGTCTTGAAGACCGCCTGGGATCACCCTAGATCGTCTGCCTACTCTAATCCTTTGTAATAATGTCGCACAGGCGGGGAGAGCGTATCCCGTTCCGCCAGGCATCTGGGGCGACTCCAGCTACCCGTTTTATCGCGCAACTACCGGTTACTAAGCAGGGCTAATCGCGCAGCTGGCGAGGGTAACGTCTGTGATGCCTATGGCGGGTAGGGCTGCCCTCGGCGAGCGGGTAGTCGTGGCTGAGCGGGGATCGGATTCGATATGTTGTGGCGGTACAACAGCAGCTCGTACTTAGAGACTGTGCCCCACAGGGCACAACATAGTGAACGGGAGCTAACATGAACCAGAAAGCTGCCGGCACCGTGCATCATGTTATACCAACCACGTTGGGCATCAGTCTTCATAGCAGTTGCTCGACCGCCTCACTGTTCGGGCAACGATGAGTTGCTGCGAAGTACTGCTTTTCTCTTGCTGCATATCGACGGCGTCAACTGAGCACCCCACTTCAGACGAGGCGGAGGTAGATGGGTCAGCCTTGTGCATGTTTACCACTGCTGAACCGCCACGTCGTTTTCAGGGCGGGATGAGAAGCCTGACACGTAGGTCACTTGATGCCATGTAGATGATTTCACCTGGAGACTGACGTGGTGTATCTGCCTTCTTCTTACCTGGACGATTTTAGTGCCTGCGGCTGTGCATGGCGATGTGGTGGCGCTGATGCCTGCAAGCTCGTGCAATACCCTGTCGTCAGTGGCGCCAGCTAGTATTGCGCATGTTTCTTCGAAACGAGATATGGCAAGTGGTCCTGAGATTTTGTGCTAGACTTGTGGTTGATGAGCCATTGGCACGTCGCCGTAGTCACTGAAGCACAGTGTGAGGTATGCAACTGAATTAGCTTGCGTCGTTTGGTTATGCAACTCCGTCTGCGAAGCTGGAGGCTTCGAGCAACCCATTCATTTTCAGAATACTCTACAATACAGCCCTTAACTCACCGCTTCCCCGAGCTTCGGTTCTCCTCTCGTTTTCATACTCCCTCCACCGAACCTCAACATCCTCTTCACAGACATATGTAATGAGCCAGCTTCCGACACCACCCCATCTCCATGCTAAAGGATCGTCGCCCACGTTCAGTCCCTTCTCCTCGTACTGCTCTTGGGTCACCCTCCCCTTGCCATTATATTCACCAAAAGCGCGAAGCATGCGATCACGATCTTGCTGCACGGGACCGTCGTGGACGTGGTAGAGGTACTGTTGACGATTACCACGTGAAACGACGCGCTCTGTGCGCTCACGACGACAGCGCTCATAGACAGCTAATGCTCGCTTCTTTTCGGCCGTAGATTTGCTCCTTATCTTGCCTAGACATAGACCGAGGACGTGTCCGTCTTCCAACGACATACCAGCACCTGACGCAAGATACGGGAGAGTGGCATGCGCAGCGTCGCCGAGTATTGTGTATGCTCCAGTTTCGTGAGACCATGTGGGATCGAGGCCTGGTCGGATCATCAAACGCCACTTGGCTACCGACTGGCAAAGTGCCAGCAACTTTGGGATCCGCGGATCCCAGTCTTTGTACAGAGCACGCATTTCTTCAACATTTCCAGCCAATGTATTTGCGCCAGCAGGCATATCGTCTGGTACTAATAGCACCATGTTGAACAGCTTGCCACCACGGAGGACGTAGTTGACAGCGTGTGCATCTGGACCTATCCAGTAGTTGACCTGCGGGTCTTCTACGAAGCCCCTGAGGTCAGGGTCCTTCAACATATCTTCTGTATTGAGTAACAATCGGTAAGCCAGATCGCCAGTGAGCAGGGGTGGGTCTTCATGGCCTAGTAATATCTCCCTACACTTGGAGTTGATGCCATCGGCACCGACTATCAAGTCGGCCTTGTATCGTGTCCTGTCCTGGCAAATGGCGATGGCACTCGTAGCGTTGCCGCCAACATCATCTTCATACTCGATGTCTACCACTCGCGCTTTTGTAGTGAGCTTAGCACCAAGCTCCACAGCCCGCTCCAGTAGCCCCATGTGCAGATTTGCTCTATGGAAATCCCAGAAGGGTGTACCACACTCCTTTTCATATTCATGGAAATCCATATCGCTTATCTTGTTGCCCTTCCAGCCGATCATGTTGCACAGCCGTGGCGAAGTAGCATGTTTCGAGAGGTATTCTTCTAGACCCCAAGATATGAGGACGCGCGAGGAGTTGGGTAAACATTGGATCCCAGCGCCAATTTCGCCTATCTCGGGGGTAGATTCGAGGATGTGAACGTTGTGACCGGCGAGGAGAATTGATATAGCAGCCCCAAGACCACCTAAGCCGGCGCCAACAATGATGACCTATCAATGAGCATTAGTCGAAGCATGTGAAATTTGGGAGGAAGAGGTTACATCGAGCCTACTGGACTCATCCCTATGCTGCTTCTGAATAACCTCAGGTTTAACGCCGGTCATGATGTCACGAGTATGATGCTGTCTGAGAAAGAAAGCAAACCTCACATTCAATGACGGAGATTAAAAAAAAAGCAAATGCTAGTGTAGCAGTTTGTCGTCCATCAACCGTGTAAACATTTCAAGTACACAGTCACTACTTGAATGGCATCACGTACCACCATCTTCGCCCACCTATCGCGACCCATACGCGTGACAGCTGGCTAGCTGATGATTACTGGACCGATGCGCGACGCCATGGCATTGGCGCTTATCGAGCTAGTCTGGCATCCCGAGGACATGGTGTGGTTTAGGACCAGAATGGGGGAACACTCGATTGGTGGGTACGCAAGTGTGATTGCGTCTACGGATGGGCATTGATGCACTTGTGCAAGAGTGGGGGAAAAGATGATGGTAGATGGATAGAACGTGGCTGGCGTGAGGGGTATGCAGTAGTAGTGACGCGGTGGCCATAGCTCCGAGCTTGAGCTTCCGATGTGTGTTCCGATCATTCCGAGATAGGCAGGCGGGAACATAGACAGTGGTCACACCAACGCAGACAATGACAGAAAGACTAGTGACATTCGCAACTCATTGGCTTCTCTATCATCGCTATTGGGGCATTGGACCATCGTAATCAAGCAGTGAATATGCCTTCCCCTCCTTCTGTAGCTTGAGAATCTCACCACGCGGTGACGGCATCATCGCGTTCTCCGGCACCTTGTTGTTCTTCTTAAAGTCGTCCGCCATCTGTTCCATTGTCACCCACTCGACACCCTCATGTTTGTTGATATGCTCGATAATCCTGTAACTCTTGTCAGAGCCCTTGTCAATGATACGACTCCTCACTGAACATACCTCTCATGCATAAGCACGACATGTGGCCTTCCACTAACATCGGGATGAATTGTCATGGGAAAGACGAACTCGTCGTACTCGCGATAAAAGTAGTCAAAGTGGTCCATCCATATTTGCTCCACGTCCCTTGGATTTACCCATCCGTGGCTGTTTGCACTCTTCTTCATGAACATCATCGGCGGCAAATCGTCGATATACCAGCTCCCCGGTATCTCCACCAGTCCAGTCTCTTGCCCCTTGGTAAGGGGCTTCATCCAGTCTACTGCTTTTTTGCTGTAATCTATTTTCGTCCACTCATCGCCCGTACGCAACCAATAGCAGCGGTGGTCTTCGTGCGACATGGAGTGATCGTATTCGATGCCGTAGCTGAGGAGAAGCTCCGTGCCTTCCTTGGAAGTTTCCCACCATGGAGCTACAGAACCGCGTGGAGGTTTGCCATGACAGAAAGCAGTGAGTTGCTTGTAGGTCTTATCGAGAACGTCGCGCTGTTGCTCGAAGGTCATGTCGGCAGGGTTTTCATGTGAGTAACCGTGGAGCCCGATTTCGTGGCCCGCATCTCGCACGGCGGCGCAGTCTTCGGGAAAGGTATCAAGAGAGTGACCTGGCTGTAGAACGTCAGTGAGACACATCGGTTCCGTGGGAATGTGGAATTTACGATGAACCATGTTGCTTTGATCCCGTACTTGTCGAAGAGCTTCAGCAGGCGTTGGGTTCCTATCGTCCCAGCCCAGAGACCTGTGCTCTGTAAGCTACTGTCAAAATTCTTGTCTCAGACGGGATACTAGCCTCTGCTGATATCGCTCGTAGAGTCTTCACCCCCGTACGAACCGAGCCAACCAGCAACAGCCTGTGAATCGCCCAGTCAGTGACCACACTCATGCTCACTACGTACAGGATGTCTTACGTCAATGTCAACACCATAGCTGACGAGAACCTTCTTCTTTCCCATGGTGCTTAACGTTCAAGATTCAACAATGCCGCAGCCTGGTGGAAGATAACGTAGTTGTATAGGTAGAAAGAGTCGATGTAAGGTTTGGCCCAAACGCGCAGCAAGAACGACAGTCGCATAGCTCATGATAGCACGTGTAGCTACCCCGCTTATTTTCGGGATTATTGATGCAGGGTAACCCACTTGATGAAGCTGATTGCTCAAATGGAAGGTGGGGGGATCTTATGATTCATCGTACCTGCCGACGGCTGCTGAGGGTCTTATCAACGCGTGTTCGCGTGCACACGTGTGCATCAGCCCATTCTTCAGAATCCTGTTCAATGCTTCCAACATTTGGACCTAAGCTGTTATGCAGATTGGGATACATCAAGTCATTTGGACGTCGAAAACAACTCAATAGTGAACAGGCAGATGGCACGTGATGTTCAGAAGACTGCATATCCGAAATTCCATGGGATGTTACAGGAAAGGGCCTAGTCCTGCTTCTTCAGTATATCATCGATGGCTGAAGCCGCACCCAGAGCCTTCTCCTCCTGCAGTCTTCGAGCTACGACCTGCACACCTATCGGCATACCATCCATGCCATCCAAATCAAACGTCTGCCAATTCCAGTCGTCCAGTGCATTCCTTGGCTCATATTCGCTCATCCTCTTCGCAGCTTCTCCATCAAGGGTTTTCGAAACTTGACCAGCAGGCAGGACGACAGCCGGATAGTCGATGAAGTTGAACACCTTTGTATACCCGACCCACTTGCATTTTCGATGAGGGACGGCAGAATGAGGCATGACAGGTGTAAGAAGGACGTCGATTGGTTTGCCAGAATTGGTAGACTTTGTTGAGTTCCAGAGATCGAGGTAGCGCTTCTGCAATGCAAGCTTCATTTTGTTCAATTGCCAATAATCATATACCGAGATCGCCTTGCCTTTGTTGACAAGAGCTTCTACATGCGGAATGAATGGTTCTCCGCCAGCGGCAACGTCTCGTCGAATGTCCTCGCCACCGTCTGCAGTGTAGTACTGATCCTGAATCTGGTCAGCTTGGAAGTGAATGATTTGTCTTGATGTTTACCATGATGTCAATACACTCTTGATGAAGGCTACCTGGAGCCCACTCGATCACTTCATGTCCAGCTTTCTCGAGCTTCATGGCGACTTCGGTTAGTACGCGGGCAATAGGTGGATGGCATTTCACAACCCCATCATCACGCATGATAGCGACCACCAGTGGTTTCAAACGCGCACCTTCATAGGCTTCTGACCGCCACGGCACTGGGCAGCACTTTGGATCTTGTTCCCAAGGAGTTGCATCAATGACAGCTTTGGTGACTGCCGTTAGCGAGTTCATGTTCCGTGTCATTGGGCCAATTACGGATGGAACATGCTCTTGACCATCGGTCGACACGGATACTCCTTGGTACGGTAGGCGTGTGCTACTAGGCTTCAGTGCGTACAGGCCATTCATGTGAGAAGGTATCCGCACGCTGCCTCCAATATCCGTACCCCAACCGATCACAGTGCCTTGGAGCGACAAAAGCGCAGCCTCTCCGCCAGTTGAGCCACCAGACGTAAAGTCGGGGTTCCTCGGATGAACGGTGAGGCCCCACAAGGGATTGTCGGTTTCACACCACTAGAAAGCTTCAGCGTCCAACTACCATTCATACATGGAAATTGTGGCATGACATACCATTATACTCTGTGGCAGATTGGACTTTGCAACAATGATTGCGCCCATCTCCTTCAACAAAGATACCAGCACGCAATCTTGTTGAGCCGGCTTGAAAGCGCGCCCAACATAGCCTAGAGTGCTGTCGTAGCCCTTGACATCAAACTGGTCCTTAAGCGTCATTGGTACCCCGTGGAGGGGTCCCAGAAGCTGACCGGTTTCGCGAAAGTAGCTGTCCAGTGCTTTTGCCTGCTGAATCGCATCGTCGAAGAGAATCTCGGTAAGGCTGCGCAAGTCAGCAATTGCTCCGTGGTGCGGGTAGGGCTACGATTGTGCACGTGCCAATTCGTCTTGGGTAGATGTTAGCGACGTTCAGGGACTAATGTTCGAAGCTTGGAATAGGAGTGGGGCGCCGTACTCGTTGGTGGGCGTCTATAGCGCTGGAAGATGTGGCGTGAGAATGGTATGATAGCTGAGCAAGCCGCGGACCTCACCGGTTGATGTAGGCAGAAAGCAGCTGCGATGCCGTCACAGCACACGACAGAATGGCCTTTGGAATGATTTGGGCATCATCGATGGCCGTCAAAGTTTGATCGCTTCGGGGTTCGTGGTTTCCGTGGGGTTGCTGGCGTTGTTAATGTGTGACTTTGTTGCACTCAGGCGCATTGTACCTCGGTTGGCGTTGTCTGAGCATTCGTGAATCTCTGGATGGCATCGTCCCGTGTTGTTCGCTTCTTCGTGACTGTCTGCAACCATTGCGGCATCTCAGAAGTCGTCATGTTGACTGTAAATGTGATGCTGGAAGACAGCTCTGAAGGTCTGGAAATCAATCATGCACGCATCAACAGCGCCCGCGAGCCTAAAACAGGCACACGACGTCGACATGGTATAGATAGCGGCATCTGCAGACCCATCGGCTTCTGATACTCCTCGGAGGCGCACCGTATTGCTGGTCAACGGTGGGGGGAATGATGCAGGGATGCCGAGGTGGACGGGAGCGCACTTCCCACCCGCTGGACTGAACGCGTTCACGGCGGAGTGCATGCGTCTCTTGCGACCCCTTGCGTCGCATCACCCCATCACCGAAAACATTTTCGCATGCAGCAGCACGTTGACGCACTTTCCCAGACGCCATGGCATTCTTCAATGGGTTGAAAATGGACGCATGCTCGACAGACAATCGGACGGTGCCCCTCCATCCTTCCCACGTACCTGCGGACCCCCATCTTTGCTCCTAGTGGCTGGCCGTCCCTGACAACAATTGACTTTATAGCATGGCTCCTTCGTTATGGAACCTCATGAAGCGTTCAACGTCCAACAGCCCGCCGTCATCGGTAAGACAGAAGATGGCACCCGGTATTGCAATCCCAGACACCGAGTCCCGTTCATCGGGAAGTAGCTTGGAGGTCGCGTCGCAGTTCTCGTACACCAAGAACGATGACTATTCCAGCTTCATGAGCGATGTCATGGTAGTCGGCGCCGGACCAGCTGGTCTGATGCTTGCGTATGTCATGTCATGCCGAGTAGAAAGAGCAATCTGACACCAACAGTGACAACCTGGTACGGTATGGTATCAAAGCCCGCATCATCGACGACCGACCTGACCGCACTTCGACGGGACGCGCCGACGGGATCCAGCCAAAGACCATCGAGACTTTGCGCCAGATGCGAATCGCTGAGCCGCTGCTACGCAAGGGTGTCAAGATCTATGACATTGCTTTCTGGAAATCGTCGGCCGAGAAGTCGCTTCACCGCACTGGTCGCGAGATTCACTACCCACCCGTAGTCGATTTGCTTGATCCATACATACTGTTGGTACACCAGGGCATGGTAGAAGGCGTTTTGGAAGACGATCTACGGGAAAGAGGCGTTGTTGTTTCCCGGAACACGGCCTTCGTCGACTTTGACTATACGCCCATGTCCATTCGTCCACTTACTGTCAATTGTCAGCAAGACGTCAACCACGCAAAGAAGACTTTCGCCACGCGATACATAGTTGGATGCGACGGCGCCCACTCCAAAGTGAGAAAGACAATACCAGGTGCGACCCCTGTGGGATCGTCGACCGATGCTGTGTGGGGTGTACTGGACGGTGTACTCGATACCGACTTTCCCGATATTTGGAGTAAAGTGGTTATCCAGTCAGATGCGTTAGGCTCCGTACTGATGATTCCTCGCGAGAGGGGTTTGACCCGTCTCTACATCGAACTGCGGCCAGGATCTACAGAGGCGATTGGAGCGCAGCAAACCACACAAGAATTCGTGCAAAAGCGAGCGCAGGCGATACTACAGCCATACAGGCTCGAGTGGAAGAACGTTGAGTGGTTTGGGCGCTACAAGATCGGACAGCGAGTCGCGGCGCGCTTCACAGACGACGAGCGACGGGTTTTCATTGCCGGTGATGCTAGTCACACCCATTCCCCCAAGGCAGCACAAGGAATGAACACATCAATGCATGGTAGAATCTCCCCTGTACGAACCTGCCTGTGAGACATACACTGACTTGGTACTTTGATATCTTTAGATGCCTGGAATCTGGCCTGGAAACTCAACTTTGCAACGCGAGGTCTTGCGAAGCCTGCGTTACTCGACTCCTACGAGCAAGAACGACAGAAAATCGCGAAGGATTTGATCGACTTTGACTACGAGCACGCGAATGCGTTCCATGACGGAGACCCAGCAGCGCTCGCAGCAAATTTCACGAAGAACGTCGCGTTCATTTCTGGCTATGGCGTCAGCTACGACCTTAACACCCTCAACGTTCAAGCGAAAGGTTACAACAGAGGTCATCTGAAGCCAGGCTACCTACTGCCACCTGCAAAGGTTACGCGCTACATCGATGCCAACCCAGTCGATGTGCAAACCGACATTCCTGCACTTGGCCAGTTTCGTATTTACTTCTTCACTCACAATATTCGCACGTCGATGCCCTTCTTGGAGACAGTTTGCCACGCGCATTCAGGAAACAACTCATACGTTGGGCGTGTCACGGCTGCTGGTAACGCCTCGTATACCGTCCAGCCACCTCTCGCAGCACCTCACGATCAATTCGTCCTTCCTGAACGGTACACACCCGTCAGTGGTGTCTTCACCTATGCCTTGGTGACCGACGAGGATCGCAACAACTTTGAGATACGAGATCTACCAGCGGTACTTCGTGAGTCTGCGTTCACGTTATATCTCGATGACATTCCCGAGAAGGACACGCGAAAGCAAACATGCATGGACAAGTGGCTTGATGGACTTGATGAGAAGGAGGTTGTTGTGGTCAACGTACGTCCAGATGGCTACGTTGGCACAGTGCGGAGATTCGTTGATGGCACCAAGGAGAATGGCATGGCTGCTGTGCAATGGATGGACCAGTACTACGAGCAATTTCTGAAAGACACATAAAAGTCTACATATTCGGTTATGTTGGTTGTTTTCGTTTTTGTGTGCATGGCTTTGGAGTTCCAAGGAGAGGTCAGGGTATTGGCTTCACGCGAATAGATGTATGACTTAGCAGTGTTCTTGTCTCAATGACCCCACACCTTTTCGTTCTCGCACTCGACTCACACATACTCCGATTCTGGAAATCTTGTTCATACAACGTCGTGTAATCTTTCCATTAAGGCTCAGTATTGTAGGTGTGATACAACGAAGACTCATTTTCTTACATGCTTATTTCCGCATATTTCCGCTGCAGCTAGCCAATGTCATGCACATAGCAGTTCCCCCACTCTTATCAACATCTCCTCGCTCTCGCTATCATCCTATCAATGATGACCTTGTTGGGCGTAATCCTTCGCTCTAAGATATGCGACTCATCTCGAACAATGCCGCTATGTGCTGCGCTGCTGATGTGTCTAGCCAGCGTTACCTAGGTATCCAACAGAGATGCATGCAGACTGGGGTCAAGAATGGGAGGTTACGAGGCGTGTGATACATACCCACGTAAAGGGCGGGAGGTGATATGACAGCTCGCTACTTAAAGACGGACTATATCGTTTTTTCCACAATCCAGTCGAACACAGCGTGCATCCGACACTTTGTGCAATATCCGTAATTGCTTCAGCTTCACAGTTGCCCCGAGGCGCCATACACCATGCCGATCGAACAGCAAAGAAACATCACCATGGCGGATGAGAAGGCTCAGAGACTATCAGAGTCCAGCGTTTCGAAGGAAGAAGCCGGTATGGTAACTGATGTCATTGACAAGAAGGCTGAGAGCAATTACGGTATGGCGTTCCCAGGCTATCATCGAGCAATGATCATGTTCTGACATGTCGTATAGTGCGAAAACTAGACTTTTATCTTTTGCCTTTTCTCTCAGTCATGTATTTTTTCAATAGGCAAGTTCACTTCCTTGGAACCCACTGTTCTATACAGCTAGTTGACTCGACCAAAGTGTTGACCGTTCGAACCTGGGAAATGCGAAAACGGATGGTATGGACAAAGATCTTGGCTTTACCGGCGAACAGTATAGCTTGTTAATCCTGCTGTTCTACATCCCAAACGGACTGTGCGATCTTCCGCTTAATATGTTGACGAAGAAGTGGAGTGGTAGGGTCATGCTTCCATCCCGTAAGTCGATATTCTCGCGTTCCAGCACCATAAGCTAAATAAGACATCAATTAACAATCAATTGTAGTGATGGTGGGATGGGGTGCGATGGCCCTCCTCCAATGTGCAGCACACAACTTCGCTGGAATGCTCGTTATACGCATTCTGCTTGGTGCTTTTGAAGCCGGATTCTTCGCAGGCGTTGTCTTCTACCTCACCTTGTTCTACACGCGTGGCGAACTCGGCTTTCGCATTGCGCTTTTCTTCGGTAGTGCACTTCTCGCGGGGGCTTTCAGTGGTCTAATCTCCTTTGGAGTCTTCCAGATTGACCATGCTCAGATCCCAGGCTGGAAGTTTCTCTTCATCATCGAGGGAGCACTTACGGTGGTGCTCGCTCTGATAGCATACGCTTGGTTACCGGCAGCCCCTCAATCAGCCTGGTTCTTGACTGATGCTGAACGTACGGTGGCTGAACGTCGCACACTGCGCGACCTGTCTTCATCCGGTTCTCACGAATTCAACATGCAAGAGTGTTTCAAAGAGTGGAACACGTGGAAGATGTTTCCCTGGTGTGTCGTCGCTTTCACCTACCCTGTCGCTTTCAGCACAACGTCGAACTTTTTGCCTCAGATTGTCCAGCGACTAGGATACTCTGTCGTCAAAACTAATCTCTGGACCGTGGCGCCCAATGCTGTGGGATTCGTTATCTTGCTCTGTATAACTTATAGCAGTGATTACTTCCGGGAACGCACTTTCCACATCTGTGGCGCTCTGTGCATCTCTCTCGTCGGACTCGCCATCCTCGCCACGGTCGATGTTCTCGGCAATAAAGCCGTCGCATACTTCGCCTGCTTCTTGCTTTGCGCGGGGGCATACGTCCCTTCTTGTCTTGTGCACTCGTGGCATAACAACAACAACCTCAACGAGAATGCTCGCGCTGCGACAACGGGTCTCATGGTTGGGCTCGGAAACCTTGGGGGTATTGTTTCCGCCGCGACCTTTAGACAAGAGTACGCACCCAAGTATTTGCCAACGCTGTATGCAACGGCGGCATGCAATGTTACGTGTATTTGCTTTACATTGTGGCTAGGCGGGTGGATGAAGCTCGAGAATCGAAGGAGGAACAAATCGCAGGGTGTTGTGCTCAGAGCCGAGGACGTCAAGACAAGTGAGCTGGGCGATGGAGAAGATAGTGAGAGGTGGAGATACTTTACTTAGAACAAACTCTGTAGAGCTCGAGGTAGCATGGCTGCGTGGCTGACCACAAAAGACTTCCACATCTCAGTCCATATACGTGCTTTGTGCTCATCTTCTACATTGGGTACTATTGTCTCAAATATTCCTTGCAAGAGTGAAACTTCGACTCGTCTAGCCCATCGCAAAAGCCGTTGCTGTCTTCACGGAATGTACCGCAATAGTCGCCAAACCAGGTAAGCCCCACCAGCAGCGCGCATGAACCTCGTTCATCCACCCCTGAATCGTTTCATACTCCCTATCAACTCATCAGAACGCTATACACTCATGTCATCATTACTACTTCCAAATATTCTTCTACCTTCTATGTTCTCCGCGCGGTTACATACCAGGGAACTTGCTCATTAGTTAGTTTGCAGCATATATGGAGACTTCAGTCATTCAATTAAATGCAAGGCAAGAAAATTGTGTAGCAAAAGGCGAAGGTAGAGCAATTGTCAAGTACTAGATGATGGCATTTCATAAGCCACCAAGACCTGCGCCCCCACCAACTAACCGCCACTGCACTAGACCTCTCAGCACCATCATACCATCGTGGACAACGGCCCATCGCACTTTACTCAAACATCTGCTCACAACTGCTGCAAGCCCGTTTGTACCCCTCTTGCCTACACTGCCAGCGACAATGCGGTCACCGCCAGCTTCAAGGAGCTTTTCGGGCTGAGCCCCGAGAACAGTGTCAAGAAGTGTCTTCATCTCCGCAACAGGATCCCAAATAATCTCATCGTCATCATCTAGATGCTGGAGGTGCTGCGGCAGCTGATCTTCAAAAGAAGGAGGTGGTGTTGGTCGAGCATACCACACTCCCCAAATTACCAACGTACCGAGGTACACAGCCCAAGGGTGATGCCATAGTCTTCCTCCCCCGATATCCGAGGAGCTGAGTTCTCCGTCGAGGATATCCACCCCTTCGCTAACAAGGGCGGCAGCGTGCCAGACTGCTTTCCCAGCTTCTTGGATGTTTTCCGCTACCCATTTCTTGACCACACGTTGAGAGCGCGCGTAGTCGTGGCGGGCCACCGGACGGCCTAGTATGTGGCGGGCGCCGGCGTAAATTTGTAGGTCGAGGAAGGGTGTATGAAGGAGGATGTGCGCGGAGTGGTACAGCGCTAGTGTGGCGGTGCGGTAGACATGGAATTCTTTAGCCAGAGGGTGTATGGATGAGGGAAGGGAGGAAAGATATGTAGTGCAGAAAGCTGTATAATCCGCGTGCCAGGCGACATAAGAGGTCGCGAGACGAGTTTGCCAATCGCCTAGTGGATTTGACTCGACGACTCCTAATGATGTCTGATCGCGGCGTTGCATGTCCCATGCTACTGACATCAGGCCATGAAGGAGTAGAGATCGTGATAACGCATTCAAGTTCTTAGGAATGGTGGCAGCGTTCGGATGAAGATACATCTTCAGGCATGACAAAAACAACGGAGTTGTTGGTTGCTTCTGCCTTAATTGGTGCCATGTCTCCGCTGAGTCAGCCTCCCAGATAGCCTGATCGCAGGGCATGTTGGAGCGAAGCTCAAAGGCGGACATGCATAGTGACTGACAGAAAAGTACTGCATGTTGCGTGTCCCACATGAAGCATAGAAACGCCAACCTGCGCACTTTGAGCAGAGCGCCATGGGGGTTCATTTGATGAATACATACCTCTTCTTTTGCTCTGCTTCGCACCATGTCCGCCAGTCATCTTCAAGATCATCTGTTGCCTCTTCCGGTGTTGGTGGCCGGATGATTTGGCAATCGCTTCGACGAATGAGGTTGATGAGCAGGCCGTGAAACAAGTGTGACATGTCGTGTTGCTTCTGACCGGCTCTACTTTTACCAAAGCACTCTACTAATAAGATGGTTTGGAGTACCCAGAGATCTGGCTTCGCCGAAAAGCCAGCATTTGCAAAGATTTGAGGTCGTAGTACATCATGAATGCATACCTGATATGGGTCAGCTAGAATTCAGCTGTGAAGGTGCGCGTATACTCACAGCAAGTTGGTGTGCATCTTTCTCTCCATATGTTGCACCCAGCAGCAACACTGATGCAAGGAGTAGAGTATCAACTTCTGATGGATCGAACGTAGACATATGAATCAGCGGGTATGTGGTGTTGAAGCGTGTGAAAAAGAGATCGCAGTATGTTTGCAAGCAGGATAATGAAAGTAGCGGGTGATCTCGCATGACTATACTACCATCTGGTACGGTGGGTTGTATGATGTCAATGAGATCAAGTAGCTGCTGACGAGCCAGCTCGTCAATAATTGGCAAGCTCCGTGATGGCTGGAGTAGAGACATGGGTCGCTCCACATCCAAAACAGAATTGCTGTCTATCGCTGATACTAGGACATTTGATGTTCCATCCATAGAAATAGCCTTGGTACCGGAAGGCATGATAGTATCAGTAGCCAACTTGTCTCCTTCGTCGAGTGGCGGCGTGATTATTGGTGCACTTGGTGAGTGGGGATGAGGGAGTCCATTGGATTGGGATGGAAGCGAGCCAAATTGGCCAACTGTCGACAGCGATGCGTCTATATCCATATGGTCCAAATGAAAATCCAGAGCATGACTCGGCTGAGAGATACTGTTATTCCCGATGGACAAGGCAGGAAATGGATCTCCTACGATGGGCTGTTGAGCCTGATCGTTGTTCGTCCAGTCCATGTCAAAAAGCCAGTTATAGTTGCTCATGGTTGTGAAGGGTGCATTAAAAGAGCTTGCCGTATCTGGGTTAAATATCTCGTCGAATGGCGCATTGTCGAAGACTGCAGAGACGAAAGGATCGCTTGAACCGCTTGAACCACCTGAAGCGCTTGAAGGCTGCGTGTTGTCGTTAGACCAGAAACGCTGATCTGTAGGCGAGTATGAACTGGACGTAGAGATGCTGTTGGGATTGAGAGTAATCGATGGGTAATGAGTTCCGATGCCGGAGTCGTTGTCATCAAGGGAATGAGATACCGACGGATTGTTTGATGTCGGTGGCGATATAGGAAGACCTTGATGTGAGAAAGAGTTGAAGTCCGGCAATGACTGCAGTAGGTCTTCACTTTGTGGTTGCGAAACAGACCGCGTCTTCGGACCGTCGTTTGATAAGCTAGGTTTCTTAGTAACTATTTTGCCTTCGGCATCTTTCCACATTCGCTTTCGAGTGTTCAGTATTCCGCAGCCTTCGGCGCCAGCTTCTTCGTCTTTTTGACGATGGCGACTAATATGCCTCTCTGCGCGTATATGTTAGCGACCAAAGAGTGGCGTATTTGCATTCCATGATTCAAGATAAGGCCGTAACGCCTTGAGGGTTTAGGAAATCATGCAACCAAGCAGAAAGCATCCAATGCGCGAGGAAGAAGCAATGTAGTCTACAGGCCAAGGAAACAGTGCATCATTCTTACCAAGAAGATCTCTCCGCTTAAAGTGAGCCCTGCATCGATCGCAAGTATATTCCCCAGTCGAATGATTCAGCAAATGTCGTTGCAAATGTTCAGCCCTCGTAAAAGACCGTCCACATCCGTCATTCGTGCAAACAAACTTCTTGCCCTCATTCTTGCTAAGATTCCTTCTCTTGCGTCCACGGGCTCCTGAACTCGCACTCTCGACAGTAGTGGATGCCATAGCGCAGGATCTGACAAATTGTTTCGATGATCTGATAGAAGGATGGGGGCAATGGGGATGAAATGGGGTGAAGAGAGGCTCAAGAAGCCGCATTACGGAATACTACACGATAGCGCGCGTCGGAAAGAGGCATGCTTATCGGAGTCGAGAAGTCCGACTATCGCGGCCGAGTGTGGAGTTGAGTCGTGCCGCTAGTGGGCGGGGTTGCGCGTGGTGGCGTAGGCTTGGGAACGCATCCTCAAGAGTGGGGGTGAGGTTTTCCATCGCAGACAACAGCCATGGAACTCTCCCAACCGATTTGTTCTTTTTTTCTTATGTTCTACTTGCAACTCGAAGCAAGTGCGTGGCCAAGATACAGCGAACAAGATGGCTGATAGTCGGGCTGACAAGGCGGAAAGCGCGGAGAATTTGCGGTTATCTCCGCTGGGCGTGGTTCCCATGCGGGCAGACTATGGAGGCCTAATGTGGAGTTGTCGTGATGGAGGATACGCCAATGGCAGGGGGCGATTTATGTGAGCTGCATTGAAGATAATCAACATGGTTGGTGATAGTTGTTACTCTATCGAAGCCCGACGCGACACGACGTTTTTGACACACTTGCAGCGCACTCATTAGTGATGGCACAAATGAGCTCATCGTTGTCGGCTCTGCTTTCCGATCTGCTGCGCGATAGGCATGTCTGAACCGATAACGTTGCAGCGAACGCTACTGTAGGAGACTTCACACTCAAGGATGCTCCTCTGATACCCGAACAAAAATGCGTTGAATCAAGGACTTGCTTACGCCACAGCGACCAGGAAATTCGTCTCTCCCTCTTTTCTTACCGCTCTCGCCCGGTCAACAAGATCATCGCCAACCGCTAACCTCAATCTCTCACATGTAGCCGGGCTATCCAGATTCCAGCCTCCATCATCCTTCTTTCCATTCATCTTCCTTGCTGCCACGACCGCCTCTCTCAGCGCAAAGAAGACTGTTGATCCCAGGAACAAAGGCGGTTCACCAATACCTTTAGAACTTTGTACACTTCTCAAGTGATTCCATGATAGTGGGTTGCCGTGGTTATCATGACGGAGCATGCTGGCATTGAAGACCTGCGGGATATCGCTAAAGCCGGGGATCTTGTATGTACCAGGGCCTCGAGTGAAGAGCTGACCGTTTCGGGTCCATAGCGTCTCTTCGATAGTGAAGAGACCTTGGCCTTGAATGAAAGCGCCTTCAATTTGCCCATAGTCTATGGCAGGATTAATGGAGTTGCCGACGTCCTATAGTATTGTTAGCATGTTGGAATGGATACATATCAGGATAAGGCATACCATCATTATGTCTGATCGGAGCACGGTATGATCGCCTGTGAGAAGGTCAAGCTCGACTTC